CTAATGTACCCTGCATAGACCTACAAGGCAAATTCTGTCCTTTTGTGAAAATTTGCTTTTTTAAATAATCAAATTATACTAGGATGGAGTTTACTAGATTCATTTTCAATGCTATTTTAATTAGTGAAGTCAGTGAGTTGTTTTGCTTCCCTCAGTTGTCAGATGTACATTCTTTGTAAAAAGTCAAAGAGGTTCTTTTAAAAATCCTGGACCAACAGGAGTAAAGCAGATGGATGTTACATTTCCAACCTTCTAGCATCATGATACTGGAATCTCTCCCTTTAGAAGTGCTGTCCTGAAGTAGCCTCCAATGGCTTTATATTTCTTCCAGTAGCTATAGCAAGTCCAGCTTCTAACACTTCAACTTGAGCTTCAGTCAAAGGCTTGGTCATTGCCCTGACACAGAATGATGGGCCATGTTCTAAAAATGCATTGATCAGATTTCCTGGGAGCTCTGTTTAAACAGCAACATTAGAAACCTTCAGTGTTAGTACTAAGTGTCATGAAGGGAGCATCTTACTTTATCCGTATCTTTCTGTAACAGTATTGTCTGTTCAGTTTGTAGAACCAAAACCTGAGACTGGAAATAATTCTGTCTTTTACCTCTCATATATACATCAAGTCATTGAATACATTACTGCTGGGGTTGGATTATCCTCGGTTATTATAGAAGTCAAAGTGACTGTAGTTCTGGAAAGCTTCTTTGACAATGAAGACAGGCAAAGATGCAGCAATGGACAGTGGCTAGGTTCCCTGCACATGTAAGTCAGCACAGCATCATTAACTTAAGTCTATAAATCAGAACAATTTAATTTTCTTAGCTACTGCATGTAATCAGATGTGGAGAGATGGCAAGGTCTCTCCCTTTCCTCCTGGGCTAGTATATTCAAATTAACATAAAGCTTGAGCATTTTTACTGTTGATGAGTTCAATTTACTTACATTGAACCAAATTAAATAGCAACAAAATTAGTTTTGTGCAAAAATAACATCACTGTTAGTAAATTACAGTTCTCTTACAACATAGTGGGCCTCCTGAGCTGGACTTTCAGTGCACCAGGTCTGTGGTTGCTCCATTGTAGCTCTGTTGATCTTAGCACTTTTAAACCATTTTCTGCTAGTACTGTGGTCCAGACGCATTATGGCATCACAACAGATCTTACAGGAATAGCGACAGTTCAGCACAGCAGACCCACATGTAGCAAAGTCACTAAACAGGCTCAAGTTATTCCTCTCGGACTGAATTTTTTAGCTTCTTGGCTCTTCTAATATTCATCTCCTCATGAGTTGAATACTTCAGAGCAGAATACCCCATCTTTTGATTACCACATGTCTTTTAGGAATTGGTATTTTTCAGACTGCTAGCTGAAGAGTCTTTGAAATGTTGGGCATTTAAGGGGATTGCAGTCTTGAATGATAGTTTCACAGATAATAGTTTAACAACTGTTTTTAGTTGAAAAACCTTAGATGAAAAAAAACTTTTTATGTACCAAAACTAGCTTGTGAAACTCATCACAAGTTACCATAGGGGCTAGCAGTTCAGCAGATTTCAGAGAAAGGTGTTTTTCAGGTATTTGTATTTGTTATAATAAATAGGAGTCACCCCAAGCTTGGGTTCCATGAAGAATCCAGACACTTGTGTTTCAGGACTGAACCCAACTTTCAGCTCTTGTTACACTTAGGAAACTGTGTGTGAATTATCCCAATGCTGTTTTTCACAGTTTTCCCTTCAAAATACATAGCATCAGAGCACTATTGGAGACTGCTCTGCATTTGTATGACCTTTAATCAGCCACAGATTCACTGTAATGCAGGATTCGCTATGTTTGATATCTTTTGTAAAGAAGTACTGAATTTATGTTGTGTAACTGACTCACACGTTGAATGTATTGGGTGATTTTAGGTATTTTGTTATCAGATTATGCATAATTCTACAAGTGGTAATGCATGTAAAAACAGTTGAAATAATGAACAGTGTGGAAGGAGAGGAGATGAGACAAGAGAAGAAGAACAAAACAGAGAGCCAAAGAAACACTTAAAAATAAGTACTTAAAAAATAAGTTTGTTTTTTTTTTTAATTACTATTATTATCATTTAGCTTTTGTATTCAGGGGTTAACAAACCACTATAACTTGTTCATTACCTTTTTCCAATGTTCCCTCAGACCTCCTAGAGCTGCAAGTACTGAAAAATATTAATTTAGGCAGCTAAAATACAACCTTTTAATTTCTCAGTTGAATCCTTCAGGCACACCCTGTGGCTCAGCCTTTTTTCTGAAGGTCAAGAGAGTGTCATTCATCTGATATAAGTAGCTTGAGTGTGGCATTTATAACTTGAGTAATGTTATGGATGATAACACCACTAGACATTTTTACAGTTTCAGCAGGAGTTCAGCCAGCAGGACTATCAGCCTGATAAATGCTTTCATCTTAAAGGTTGTATTGCTACAATAACCCCAAAACTTAAAGTTGCTCCTTGAAACCTATAGTCTGGCTAAAGAGATGAAGAGTACTCTCTGACATTCCTAGGTTGCTAAAGAGCTCTCTCAGGTTCCAGGGCAAGAATTAGCATGGCCCCATCCAGCTGTTCTGATCTGAATTGGAAATTACTGTAGGACTTTGTAATTTTAAATGAATTGAGGGCAATGCTACTTGGAAGAATTAGCTTTAGATTGAGATGAGACTGAACTCTGGATGATAAGTCTCAACGTTTTATTCCTACCCAATTATAAAGTGTTTCTACAGGATTTTAGGAGGCAGAACTTTTATAGTGCTATTTTCAGAAACAATAGTGAGTTTCACCTCCTCTATCTGGGTATTTTGCAGTTATAAAACTCCTAGGAGACTGGTAAAAAACTAATCTATAGAGAAGGCTGAAAGTGGTGTGAGAAGCTAACAATGACAATCGGTAGGATTTTGGCTTTGTAGAAGTTGTTCAATTGTTTTGTAGAGATCCAAAAGAGAGTGGTTATGTTCTGAAAGTAGATAGTGAAAGCGGCTGTGCACTGATTATGCATGTAAAAACAGTTGAACTAATGAACAGTGTGAAAGGAGATGGGGTGATACAAGTGGAAGAAGAGTAGAATAAAGAGAATGGAGTATGAGATGAACGAAGGTCAAATTTCTTGCTTTTATATCTAAGAATAGTAATCTAGGCTAGTAGCAAATTTTAGCTGCTGTTTTAACCCAGCAGCTATTTAACACAAAAATATTTTTAACATGTAATGATTACAGTTAAGGCAGCCAGATACTGGTTTTTCATTGCTTCTGATATTATGAAACAACTCCATTGGTTTTCTTAAGGTTTTAATGACTTCACTGGAGTTCCTCTGCTAAAATGCTATTCTAGTTTACAACCTTCTGCGTTTCCTGATCATCACCTTGATCATAGGAAAAATTATAGTACTTCTTGTTTTTGTCTGAGACCTCAGAAGCCTCGCTTCCTTCCTGTAAAAAAACTTGCGTTATCCATTTTGTATTTGTATTATTGTATATTGTTTGATACAAAATGCAGTTTGAATGCTGCAAGTTTGGCATGACATCTCAGAAGGAAGATAAAAAGGAAGACCTCTGACAGCAGAGGTCAACAAGGGTGATTGGAGGCTTTAAACAACTGTACAGAGAGATCCTAAGTAGGCTATGATTCTTCAGCTTGGAAAAGAAATGATGAAGGGATTAGATAATAGAAGTCCATAAAATTATGACCAATGTTGAGAATGTAAATAGGGAACAATTATTCTATATTTCTTTTAGTGTTAAGAGGTAAAGGTTACCAAGTGGAATTATCAATTATCAAAGAAGAGGGAGTGTTTTTTGCTGGAAGTTACACGAGTGTGCAGGGGAGGTGCCTGCTCAGTGCATCCTGTTCTTTTACTCTTCCCCAAACACTGTTAGAGGTAAGATACAAGGCTAGATGAATTTTTGATCTGGTCATATAATTGTTAGAATCTTAAATTCACAAGTACTGGAAATAGGTGGTAGACTGAAGGGAAGTATAAGGTTTGACCTTTTAGTTTCATTTTTAATGTTGGCTAGTTTTCAGATTTATGAGTGCCCTTAAACTTGCTTTAAAACATATTTGCCTGATATGGAATTACCTGATAGCAGCAACAGCCTTGACTAGTGCATTTATCGTTTTGTGGATTTATTAATCCTTATTCGCTGATGTTTTTCTAAAATTCATCAAATATGCAGGATCTTAACTTGCTTAAAGCCTCAAGACAGAAAACAATTGTAAAAAAGAAATTGTAGGTTCCAGTCAGTCTGACTTCAGTCAGTGTGCATTGGCTACACAGTAGTGTAGGAGCAAGAAAAAAACCTTGCGTTATCCATTTTGTGTTTGAAATGGTGGGTAGAAGCTCTTCTTCATCTCTTCCTGAATGTGTAACATACTGTCTTCCTCTTGGGCTATAATAATGTACTTTCAGTTGACTGATCGTATTGCTTTTTGCCTCTCTTTTTGGAAGACATTCTCCCACCTTCTCTCAGCTCATCAACTGAATAACCTGTCCTCCTCTATTCAGCTTTCTATTTCTCACAAGCTGTTTGAAATCTCATCTAAGACCTCACTTCTGTCAGCTGTGCCTTTTGATATTGTTATGACTGATGCATACCTCAGTTTCTGCCACCAATTTTAGAAGTTTCTATATAATCCAAGGATACTGCAGCATCTGTGGTAGCCCTTTTGCCAGCTTGCTTTAGTTGTAGTAATGGCCAAGTTCAAATAAAGTGTAATGGCTCATATGAAAGTGAACAAAATGTACCCTACCATGAAACACTACTTGCTCACAGATTTTAAGCACTTACCTGTAGACTCTGCTGCTTTAACTTCATTCTTTATGTACATCTTTGGTTGCAGTGTCCTATTGTGGCACCATTTCACATCCCTGATTGCTTTGCTTTCAATTAATTTCTGCCATAGCTGGTTAATTACAAGATGCATTTGAAGGAGGGTCCAGCAGCTGACATTTGGTGGAACTGAGGGCTGTTCTGTTGTTTTCAGGTACTGTTTGGCACTGCTGATGGACAGGTTATTGTCATGGACTGCCATGGCCGAATGCTGGCCCATGTGCTCCTTCACGAGTCAGATGGCATCCTCAGCATGTCCTGGAACTACCCCAGCTTCCTGGTGGAGGACAGCAGCGAGAGTGACACGGACTCTGACGACTATTCCCCACCACAAGGTAGTGTTGTGTGCACGTCCTTCTGTTTCAGCTTTGCAAGTGCTCACAAAGACATCTCGAACACCAGGGAGTTGTCATGCTGTACTAAAACAGCAGGACGGCCAGTTTCAAGCTGTTAGAGGCCAAAAGATGGTGCATTCCTGTGGACGCAGCATGGAGGATGGAGCGGAGAGCTGGTACAGGAGACTGGGTTTGTCCCCAGCTCTGCCACCAGCCTTGCTGCATGGGTTGCTGCAGGTCAAACATGGTCTGTGCTGCTCTGCCTCAGTTTGCCCAAATGAGATGACAACACAAAGCTTAAAGGCTTTAGTGTGGGTGAGTGAAAACACTAGATAGAGACCTATCAGGTTTCACTGATAAGCTGATGTGAGGTACTGCAGTGATCCTACCTCCTTATACAGATGTAGTCAGAGTGCAGTCACAGAAGTTAATGCCTTATTATATAGGTTCATGTGAAAAGACACCAGTACTAGACATAGTAATCTTTACTATCATAATAATCATAATACATCTACTAATCATAATGCATCTTTAATTTTATCTCTGTTTCATAGGATTTCTGTAATGCTCATCATTACAGTCCCGTCCTTAATAGAGCTGACATAAAGAGCTCAATAAATTCCATAGAAGGATTGGAAATTAAAGTATTTCCTGCAATTACATAGGGTAAAAGAAGGGTGACCGGACATGTCTGGAGTTACTAATTCCCATGCTTCAGAGCACACTGGCAGTTTGAGGATCAGGAAGAAATCCTTTTCTCCCCTTAAGTATAACTCATCGGGTGAATTTTTTTTGTTTTAAACTCTTTGGAAATCATCAATAGCAAAGACCTAGGAGGCCTAGGTATCCATGCACAGTCAGCCCCATCCTTCTTATTAAAGTAATGTAATACTTCTTCTTGTTAATGCTGTTGATTAGTTTATAAGATCTAGGTAAGCTGTTTCTGTGTTCCAGTGTATAAAGTCTCAACTAAATTAAGACCTGAGTTAATACAACAGTGATTGTACCATGAAAAAACTAAATACATACTAGCTAGAAATAATTCTAAATTTGCATCTCAGATCCAAACCACTGAATTGAGGAATCCTGCAGTTTTTACTCTAATTTGGGTTCAGTCCAAAAGTCTACCTTTTCCAGAATCATGTGTGTATATATGCCAATATAATAAGTATACATATTTAACAAATAATGATAGAAGATAATGTGATCATCTGGTAAAATGTTAGCGTCTTTTAAAACTGAGTTTTGTTTTACCTTCCATACCCCAATTTTGGTACTGGGTGAGATTTCCTATCTTAGAAGAAAAGAAACAAACTTCACATTTCTAAATCAAGAGAACATTAAATTCACTCTTGGACGTTTTTTTAAAATACTGAGGTTCCATTTTGAAGATGGTGAAGTTGTAGAGTACACAGATGAAAACTTAAATGGTCCAAATGGCTTAGCTCTTTCTGAGTCAATCAGTGGGTGGGTGGACTTGTTACAAGCCTACAAATCTATTTTAATGATTACCCAAACATGATGTGTTTTCTTTAGAGCAGATGCAGCATAAACCTCTCAAAGGTGACAAGCTTTTGACTCACACAGATGTGTAGGTAGGACTGGAAGTTTAATGGCTTTTTCTTATTAAATTATATACACACAGAGATGCTAATTACTAGGCATCTTTCCCCAGAATGCTTTCTGATCAGCTTTCTTCCAAGTTCAGAAAGCAATATCACTCTTAACTGGCTCCGCCTTTTTTTGTTGACTGAAGAGATGCTGGCTGGGCCTTGAGAGACACTTTATCAGGGGCCAGTAGCATATCCTCTCAGAAACTGTAAACAAAAAGAGTTAAACACCAAATGCTACAGATGGTGAGATTGGTCATGAAGTATTTGAACAAGGGAATTTTGGTGAATGCTGAAAAACAAGTCCAGAGGAGCAGAGACGTTGCAGAAATGTTTTTTAAAGTCAGATGTTTCATTTGGGCCCACCTCTACCTTCGAATGCATTGGATCCTCCTATGCAGGATGTCAGGCAACTTTTCATGCTGCTGGTTAGCTTTTAATATTTAGAATACAGCAGTTTGTGAAAGGTGAGTATGTTATCTTAGAAGTTCTTATAATATCTCTATGTGACTTCAAGAGGAGTCCCCAGCACTTGCCCAAGCACAAGCTGTATCTAACAAATAGCTTTTAATGTGATTATATTATTACACTGGTTTTCAACTTGGGTCCCAAGGAAGCCTTCCAAAGCACTGGCTTTCAATTTGTGGACACTTTGGGGAGTTCACAATAGAGAACGATTAAAAACCACCACCGTATAACGTAATAGTATATGCATAAATAACTTTGGATATACTGTAGTAAAAATTCACAAAGTGGAAACATTGGGGTTTCACAAAAGCAGACGAACTAACTGTCTAAACCTCCTTTGCTTTTGCGCATAGATGTTGCAGAAATAGGTAGAGTTTGAGGCTTGGGATCATTCCTGGTGGCCGTGGGCTTGAAGTACAGTGTATTTCAGACTGGACGTAATTACTTCTGGTTGTTTGCCTTTTGCTCACTCCAGAGCCTTGTTTTTGCAGATGGACCAGCTGCGTATCCAGTCCCAGTGCAGAACACCAAGCCACTCCTTACCGTCAGCTTCACATCGGGAGACATCAGTTTAATGAACAATTATGATGACTTGTCTCCTACTATCATCCGCTCAGGGTTGAAAGGTATGAAAGGAAGCCATTTTGCCCCCTTTCTATGCTCTGTTTTTCTTGCATTTTTAACAATGTGTGTATAGGTTATGTTTCTGCAGTTGTGTCTTGTAACCCAGGCGGCCTCGGCTACCGCTGTTGCTGTTTCCAGCAGTGACACCTGCTGGTGGGAGAGTTTGGTTGAGAGGATTTTTTGTGTTTGAAAAAATGGTTTGAATTTTGAGATTGTGTTTTTATGGCAGTTTTGTATAGCAAATTGATCTGTTTGCCACTTTCCAACTGAATGTGCTAATATGTTTATGCTTCTTCGTATTAATGCCCCGCTATGTGACACTTCCTTTGTGTCTCTGATTCACAAGGCCTCCTCCCATGGTTTTGGTAACCAGGTATGAATCACAGTGCTGCTTTGACTCTCACAAATGTTAAAAACTTGCTAGAATTACTATGAAGAGGGAAGTTATTCTGCGAGAATGAAAATTCCACCTATTAGTTACTATACATCTTGCTAATTGATGTGCGTGAACATTTGTAAGATCAGTATTACATGTAAAATCTTTAATTCACATTGAAATTTTTACTGTTCTTACCTATCAAAAAGTCCCTTGCTTTGCCAGCACTCTCAGTACAATTTACGGTGCTTTGCCTGGAGAGAAGTTTTAATTCACTATGGCACACAAGCACATACTTAAATATAGGTTCCACTGATTCTTTTTCATCTCCACAGGTAAATTACTTCTATTTTAGATGTAGAAAAAAAAATGAGCCGTTGGAGCAGACTCTTAGCTGTTCTGTAACAGTTGGATATTTTTGGTGAAAAGTTGCCCTAACACCAGACCAGTAGTCTTTGGGTGATCTGCTATGTATGGTAGTCTTAGGAGGTTAAAAAAATCACCTTTGAGATTTCTTTTCCACTCCTGCTTCCATCTGTGCCAACACAAGAAATGCATCCTGGGGCAACCCTGTGATCTTGGAAAATTCTTCAGCTGAAAGGACACCTAAAGAAGGATTGGGAGTGTGTATGAGACAGAGAGAGAAAGGTGATGGGGATATCACTGTTGTTTTGAAGCTACCCATTGTATGGTAGAAAGTAATTTACATATAGCTTTCATACAGAGGTAAACATTTTCTGTACCTTCTTACCAAAATTGTTTTCAAGTGACTGTAATTTTACTGGTTGTTATCACATGCAAGAACATGCAAAACCACCCACCTCAGAGCCTTCATCCTCTCCAGCCACTTGGTATTCTGCCAAGAGTGGATGGTCTTCAGTATTATATGCAAGTCTTCATTAATTTGTTTCTGTTTGAAAACTGTAGGCATTGCTTTGTGGTGTCTGCAGCAGATGCCCTTGTCTTTACAGGCTGCTGTATGAGCAGAATACTCAATGTATAATGCTGTAAAACTCTTTCAAGCAATACCAATATATTTTTGCTGTTCCACTAGCTTTGCATAGCTGTCATTTTCCTGCAAAGATACGTATTAAATTGATGCAGAAAAACATTTGCTGTTGGATGAGAATTTGATTACCCAAATACAAGTTCTTTTCATCCAGTTTGAACATTTCTGAAAGTTTTGTCAGTTCTAGTGGAGGTCCTGAACTGTTCAGTTGTATACTTTCTTTTTTCATGCTTTGTATAACTTAGTGATTCTCAGTACACTGCTACCTGCAGAACTGCTGAACTGAATCTACTGGTTGTACTGGTTAGTTACAACTACTACCCACAGAACTATTGCACATTTAGAGTGCTCTCTACTCAAGGTTTGCTGACATACATGCCTGTAGTGGCTGGCAAGTAGTTTTGAGGGATGGCTCCAATCCACTGTTTGACTTGCAGATTGTTATCCTAGATGAAACCTCCATCTGATTTCTAATCTCTATGCTTGCACTGAGACCTAGTTACCAGTTGGGCTCTTATACATCAAGGTTCAATAGTTGTTGAAGACCCTGTTGGCAGTGCAGCATGTGGTAGAGCCTGGGGCGATGCTGCAGCCCACGTCCAGTCCTTCATTGCCTTTGCAGCAGCCTAATTCTAGGATCTTTGAGAGAGAGAGAAAAAAACCTGCTGGATGCAGTAATCACTCCTCTTCCTTTTAGTATGGGTATCGACTGAAAGTTTACCTGAAGACATGTACTGAAAGCAAATTGTTTTATCACTTGGTGATTGTGTAGTTAAACCAGTTACCAAAAGTGGAGTTGATCAGCATGCCTCATTGATTTCTAACCTTATTGTTATACTCTCTGAGAAAGATGAATTAAATCCTGTTGTAGATTCCTTAGAGAGCTGAGGACTAAGAGAAAAAAAAAGAAGCATACAATGCCTAGCTGTGAAAAAATTATCTTGAGGAACATGTGTCTTGCCTCTGATATGTGCAGAAGCATAATTCCCATGAGAAATGTCAGAAAGTTGAAATAATACAAAACCATTTTAAATTGCACATAAAGGTCCCTGAAAATGACAAGTTGACAACTTGAAACAATTTTGAGAACCTTCCTGCCAACTCTCATTTCTCTCCTGCTTCTTCATTTGAAGACAGCTTCTCGCCCACAAATGTCTTCAAAAGGTTCTTGGCAGATTGAGCGTCCCAGAGCACAAAATTTTTGTCTTTACCGTCACTTTGTCTCAGCAAAAAATAGCTGCCTTTCACCTCCAGTTTAAGAGTAAAAAGGTTTAAAGACTAGCTCAATATTCCTTGCATATGCAAATCTGCCTCTGAAACACAAGCATAAACACAAAATACTGATTTAGTGCTCTTCTTGAAGTGTGACAAAGAGCTAGAGGATATAAAGGTTTGAAATTAGCATCCCCAAATTAAGCTGTGGGCGTTTCTCATCAGGAGGTGCCTCTAGGAGAAGTAACTGATATCTATATTCATATCCATGTATATGAGAGACTAAGCAAACTCTGTGTGCTGCTGGCAAACTCCTGCTAGACAGATGAGTAGATTTTTCACAAGTCAGGTGTCAAAAGAAAACCTATGACATGGAGGCCATATGTATTTATGGACAAAAATCCAAGTCTTTCTAGTTTAACGTTATACTAAACTATGACTGCAGTTTGAGCTGTGCTAAAAGTTATATTCGCAACCAGTGAGAACATGAGGCATTGCCAAATATGCTGCTTCATTGCACTGTAGGCCTTTCCAGACAAATACTCTTTGCTGCTCTCTTAGTGAGATTATTTATCTGCATATTAACTCGATTCCACTTATTTACCCCAAAGATGTACATAGGATCTTCCACATCAGTTTTAACATCTCTAATAGATTCTTGTACTTAGGAGCAACCACTGATTACATTCTAGACTCACCAGAGAGAGAGAAAAATTAATGGCTTTGATGCATTTTTTGCAATTCACAAAATAAAGAGTCATTCTCAGAAGTGCATATGTGGCATATTTGCTACTGTTTCGATGAAAGGATTTAGGTTTCTAAATATTTAAGTAACTTCGGAGAGCATGATTTAGCTGTTCAAGTCGCTTTGCAGCATCTGGAAACATTGCTCCTACTGATTCTAATCAGTGATTATTGCAAACCGTCTTTGTGATTTCAGACGTGGTGGTACAGTGGTGCACTCAAGGAGACCTACTTGCAGTAGCAGGCATGGAGAAGCAAAGCCAGCTGGTTGACCTCAGCAATGGTTCCCTGTTGAAAAACGCACTTGTCAAGTTCTACAATGTGCGCGGGGAACATATCTACACTCTGGAGACACCTGTACAGGTAGGAGGTAATTTTTAAGTCAGTTCTCAATGCTTTGCTAACATGTTTTTCCCACATTAGCTCGTTGGTGTAGACCCGCAATGTGAAAATGGTTGCAAAACATCCTGAACACATTCTAAAATATGGTATAGATAAAAATGCACTATAAATCATTATTGTTTGCATTAAGGTAGACATCCAAGAGTGCATCTGATTCTAAGGCCTACTGTGCTAGGTATTGTGCAAATATATAATGAGAAACTATCTGTTTCCCAAAATCGTTGGGCCATGAATGGACAAGATAGAAAAATAAAATTCTGTTGATTTACAGATAAGTGACTGAGGAGAAAAAAACAGATCACTTTCTTGATATTTAGCAGAGCCAGGAGCTGGACAAAAATGTTCCAAGTTTATTCTCTCTTTGTTATTGCTGTAATTTTCGAATGTACAATCAGTTGATATGATGCAATATTTTACTTTTTGTGGCATCAGATGGAGAAGGATGAATCAGAAAGTCTTGTTTCTGTTCCTACCTTCTGTACAGATTTTCAATGTAACCTCGGTCGTGTTACTTGACAAGTAAATATCAACACATGGTCTGCGTGCTGCTTAGGAGCACAACATGCTTCATAGGTCTTTGATGATATTTCAGAACCCAGCTGAATGTCTCTCCAGTTTATTTCATTTCCTGCAGAATAGGGATGAATGTTCTGATTTCTGACTGTTGCTAGTGAAACTTAATTAATTTACAATAGCTTTGAAATCTAAAAGTGAAGGAAAATGCTATAGATATATTTACTTAATTATGTTTAATGATGATACCATTTATTATAATTTCTTTTTCAGTACCTTGATCTGGGATGGATACAAAAGGATGACATAGTAAACCAGCTGCTAAGCTTTTGTGTTTGCTTATATTTAGCATTAACCTGTGCTTATTAACGTCAGCACTCTAATTTCGATAGAATTCTTTAATTTTGTAACATGTAAAATAATGGTCTCTAAAGCCAGCCTAAATACATACAGTGACATCTAATGCTGATTTAAGTACCTAAAGGACTTACCCATACACACAGCTTTATTGTCTCTTAGCCCTTTCCTTAGCCTGTTTCTCTTAGCCCTGAGCCTTTACTGTCTATAGCCCTTTCAGCAATGTAGCACAGCCCTTTCTTCTCTGGATCGATTCTGGAGAAAACATATTTATACCGGTGTTGCTTATTCCCAGACCAGGTAAAAAACAAACCTCGTTCTGTTGCTTCAGTACCAGAATATTGTATGTCCATGTTAGCTGTTGAACCAGAGTAGCACTGTGGTGTCAAGCTGTGAAATCAAGCTGTGGTTTGAGTATCGGAACTGATGGGATCAGATTGCCTTAAGGTGTGCGTGTGTGCAGGCTCTTCTCTTACTGCTTTGTTCCCAGTAACCTCAAATTCTCCTTCCTTTAAATACCTTCATCGCCTCTAGTTCTCCTTATATTGCTTCAACTTCTTTATATATTTTCAGCTCTTCTCCTTTCTTCTCTGCTTAATCAGCTGAGAGAAAGCACGTATTGTGACTCATGTGAGGTCTAATTATTCTGCCATTATATGAGTACTTACAGGTCATACAGAACAGGTAACTTCAAGTTCATACTGCAGTATTTCTCATAGTAAAAATACTAACAAGAGCCTCTCTGCTCTTTCCAGCTTCTAATTTTCACTGAATTTGCAGCATTTTAATATCATGGTGATTTATTCCCCCATTGTCAACTTCAGATGAAAAGCCAACAGCTTCAGAAGTTGTAAGCCAGGTTGGAAGTGAAGGATGGGAGGGTCGGGGGTGGCAACCACCACTTAATAGCACAATCATGGAGTCTTATTTCATTGGGAAACCAGGATAAAAATAACATTCAAAGTGATGTTTTTATGTTTATTAAAAAACTCTGTGCATAAACCTGCCTAAGATTAGAGCCACTCCTCTTCTCTTATTAGTCAGTGTTTATTCTCCTTATTTATTGCATTTAAATTCATATTTACTCAGCTGCAGGAGGAACTGAGGGGTCTTTCAGAAGGACACCTGTATCTGCTTATGTGGACTTTATGCTTCTGTGTATTTGAACGCTGGTCTAGTGGTATTAGCAGCTAAGTGGCAGGTATGCTAGAACATTACTACATATTTGGTTTACTAACAAAACCAGATAAAAACTTCTGTTGCAAAAAAAGTAGCTAGTAACTTTGTTATTCTGTGCCTCTGATCCAAAGATGTATATGCAAAGATGACAGTGAGTCAGTGGTCCCAGGAATTTGTCTGATGACAAATTCATCAGAGTAAATTAACTAGTTTTCTGTACCATGACAGTCAGCCTTGTAATGGGATTTTATAAAATTTACCACTGGTTGTTGAAGAAAAGAATTGAAGAAAATAAAAGAATTTCCTCATCTCAAACTCTTGTGCTAAAATTTTCTTCTGAAGCAAGCAAATGTGTGACTGGGAAAGCACGCTTATTCTAAATGGGCATTATTCTGAATATAAAGGTCAAAAAAAGTAAAGCTGCAATGAACATAGAAAATACTGGATTACAGGTGCAAAATTGATTTTGAATGTGATTCTCTCTCCTAATTCTTTGATAAAGCAGACATCTGAACATTTTGTCAGTAAAATACACTGAACTGGTTTTGTTTCTGCTGTTTGTCTGTCCTGTTGTTGGTAGGATATTCAGGAAACAAGAGATTTCATTGTTTATAACAAAACTGAGTCTAAAACTGACGTAGGATTTATACGCAACTTGGCTGGAATGTTACCTAACATAAAGTCACTGCAAACCCCAAGGCAGAATAGATTCGGGTACTGCAGGTTACTCATCTTGATGATGACTATTATCATGGATCCCTTCAAGGTATTTTATATGCCTCCTTCTTCTCCAGCTTCAGTATGGTTCTGGCATCCTCTGTCTCATTTGATTAACTCTCTTAGGTGCTTATCTTCAGTTTAGGATTTTATAGTTCATAAACCTAGTTTGCTGACTATAAAACCCCAGATAGGGAAATTACACTTGTTCAGAAGTATCCAAATGAATGCAGTAGCTTTGCATGAAACATAACGTTCATAAACAGAGTGGTAGAGTTAGTGTATTGTAGCAGTCTCTCAAGAATATACTTGCAGAATGTAGTGGAAAGACCTGAACTTCCTGCTACACAGAATCAAACTGTTTTGAACCTTGAAAGGATGATGAAAAAATTTCAGAAGAGACTTCAGAAAATCACACCAGACTTTGGAAGCAGTTCTGTGAAAACTGGGTCCATACTGTGACTCCCAAGAGTCGATACTGCTTATTTATTTTATACAAAGAGTGTATCTTAAAGGCTGTTGATCAGCTGATAACTATTCAAAAATATACTATCAATTTCTGTAAAACTTAGGTCTTACTACACTTGCCCTTGTGTACACAAACATCAATCTGATGTAGCAAGAATATACACAGTTCTTTTAGCTGGCAGTTTTTTCATGATCGTGCTTTTGCAACATTTAAAAATGTGATTACAACAGCAGGCTGCCCTGCTGGTCATAATTTTTTTATTGGAAGCATGTTAATTTCTTACACTATTTGTTAAATCCTCACAACCTTTCCCTAGCATCAAGCAGGGATGAGAATCAACTCATTCAGGATTGTTTTGCAGTCTTGATAAAATTGTTTACCGTAAGTGCTGCAACCCAGATCTGTCACTTCAGAATTTCTCACCTGATGTGCAGACAGGTCTTTATTATATCAACTAACCATACCTGCTGACGCTTCTGAGTAGATACAGCTGCTTCATATCTTCCCATTTGAACTTTAAATGGAGGAGTCTCCTACAGGTTCAATTCAAAATTACCTAACTGCCTACTTTAACAAACCTGTGAATGTTTTCTGCAGTGGTTCAGAGTTGTGGTGTATATTTTGGTTTCTTCACTTTTTATAGTTTTATTTTTTACAAGTCCCAGAGAGGACCAGGGGAACAAGAATGTGGATTTAGAAACTCTGATGCTGATCTCCTCTATACACCTATAATTCTACAGTAAATTTACATTAGCTTATGATTTTATACCACTGTGTAACTGGTGTAAGAACAAATTAAACCTCAAGTGCAATGAAGAAGAAGGATAAGAGTGAACTAAGCCCTGCATGTTCCAGGATCAGTTATATAGGTAACAAGATCAGATGCAGAAAAAGTGTAATTGCATTTTTATCAGTGTAATATTTTTAAACCCTAATTCCAAGTAGTATACCAAAGGCTAATCTTTATGGGAGAGGTTTCCAGGAGTCTTTGAGATGACCCCCTTGCTCTAAACCTGCTCCTGTCAGCAGCAGCCTTCACAGCATTTCTCAGGCTGCTTCTCTCCTGGAAGCATCCTGGCATCTGAATGCATAGATTTAAGATGATGTGATCCTGCAGAAACCTGGTAGTTGCGTAAGAGCTATTTTACTAAGGCCTGAGAAGGAAAGTGCTGTTCTAGGTTAAATTCAGATCAAAAGGCTTTGAGAGAAGTGGCTGCCTTTTATGTTACCCAGCTGAGCTGACCTTGGTTACTTTGTCTTCACTTATTTCACACAGAATGTTCAAGTTTGTTGCTTCTGAATCAATGTTGCCTTTCATTTATATTGCCTGAAATTAATCCTATTTAGCTGTTACTGGATGACAGCAAAGCTTCAAGAGAGTTTATTTTCTTACAGAAAGATAAATGAGCAACAATTTAGAATTAGCTGGTGAAACATTCTTTGGGATATCAATAAGGACCATCATCAATAAGGACCTTGATATTTTCAGTACAGGCCATAAGATCATCTCTGACTACTGCAGAAATGGATTGTGATCAGGACTGGAAGATGGAGGCACTTGTCTAAGCAACGACTCATTCTGCTAAAATAGAATCTCATTATTGTATTGAAATCTTCAAAAAAAGATACTGTAGAAACAGAGAGGATATAAGAAACATCTGCAAATCAAGTGAGAGTTTGCTACATGAAAAATCATATAAAGCCAGAGCAGTGTAATTTCTGACAACATCATAGTCTTTATTGATTTTATCACTATCAGTTCTTACTGGTCAGTATCATTCCCACTGTAAATATGGGGAATAGAAGAATGAAGAAGTTCTGTTACTTTCCAGCAGTACATAGATGTGCACACACAATTCACAAGAGCTGGGTGGACACTGCAGCCGTTTCACATTCTAGCTTCTCTCTGAGAAAGGAGAGGGAAGAATGTATGTCTCAACATCAGCAATCTAAAGTGAGAGCAAGCAGGCAACGTATGGCAGAGTTTTACTTACACATACCATTCACTAGATGCTATTTTGCAGTTGTTTTTTTTCTCCTGAGAAAAGTCACGCTTGTTGCTGGGCTTTCTGCACTGGAATACCATTTTTATTTCATTACCAGTGGGACTCCCAGTGGCAGCAGACAAGGGATTAGTGCAAGCAGCAGGCAGGCCCTATGGATCAGGATTTCTGAGCTCAAAGGAGGCAGCAAGAATCAGCTTGAACAGTATTTTCACTGACGGTACTGCATAAAGTGATGAAAGGTTCTCTTCTGTAAGAGACAGATGAGTGACTTTTAAGAAGCAACCACAGAGCTTGAGCAGAATATCTATTCCCATGTGCTTTTCTTATGGGAGTCAACATCCCAGCAAGGGGTACAGATTTGAGTAGATACAACTGACTTTCAAGCCCACTCTGAAAAAAATGGAAAAATAGCTCCTCGTTGACCACTTTTTGAGATGTGTTTTCAGTCAATATTTCTTCTGTTAAAACATCTCTCTTTTTTTGTCCTTTAGCCCATTATTTCTATTATATAATTGTCATAGAGCTGAATCCTATCTATCTGTAGAAGTTCAAGGGTTTTTCCAGGATTTTTTTTTCCTACATGTTTGTATTTAAACCCTGGTATTTACAGTTTGTGCTGAGATTTTTCAAAACCTGATGGGATTTTTATATGCAAAGTGAGATTAGAAATTATCATTAGATGTTATATTTGTAGCTGCCTTCCCTTGTTCCTAGAAGAAAAAAACCAGGTGTGCAAACATGGAAAATAAAATTCTTCTGTGCTAGAATCTGCTTGTTCATTTTCTAACGGGTGCAATATGGGTATCAACAACATTTTTCCTTCCTTTTTTTGCTAAAACAGTGCAAATAAGTGGATGCTTTATAAGGAGTAATACTTTTGTGTTGGATGTTGTAGTTCAATTGTTTTTTCTCAGCAGAGTTTGGAAGGAAAGCTTTAGCCGTCTCATAACTGACTTGCTGCAGTAATTGATTCATATCCCTTGTCCTTCAAGGGAAAGAGTGGGAAGCGTAGTTATTGAAAAATATTATTGGAGTGGTACATTTAAATGTCAGGTCAGATCTGGCATTTGGGTGATCTTTTATTTCTCTAAGCCTGTAATGACAGACTAATTTTCCTTGAACCTCATCTTAAATCTTAGCCCTTCACCATAAATAAAGTGTTACTGGATATTAGGTTTGATGAATACTGGGGGACTGACCATTCCATAGAAAAGGAAGACAAGGCATGTGGTGAATCAGAAAGCAAGGACAAACCAGTATGGTACAAGTGCTCTTTGATGAGACTGAAAATATTAAGACTAAAACATGTGAGGTATGTGGGGAGACTAAGCCTACAAATGTAGGTGTAGGAAATGTGATGATTTACAAATAGTACAACACTTGTAGGTATTTTGTGTGTATGTATTTAAACATGCACCCACTCACATATTGTTTACATAAAAATATATAAACAGAATATAGGGGAATCAGACATTCAGAAGTTTAGAAGATGTCTGAACTATGGTTGCCTGTTGGGAAACTATGGTGAAATCATGTAATGAGGCAATGCCTTTTGACTTCTGACTTTCTGCTCTTCCTGAGCTCCACAATGCTGTGTTGCCAGAGGTCCCACCCAGCATTTCAAAGCTTCTGAAAAACCTGTTCCTTAGCAATATGTTTAAGATTGCAGATGTACTTGTACTGGTACTATCTGCATGTCTGCTGTTCTCTGCATGCAGCAGTAACCTGAGGAGAGAAGTAGTTTCATTTGTCTCTGTTTGGATGAACAGAGTCCTCTCTGGCTGTGATATATTGGCTTATAATAGCTGCCATACTGGACTTCATGGCAGGGCTATCTGGGTGTGCTGTGCTGGATTATGATAGTTGGGATATTAGACTTCTCTTCTGGCATTAAACTCTGTCCAATAAATAAACATTTGTGTCCTAAGTCACATACTTGTTTGTTCCTTCACCATATTTATAGGTAAGCTTTACTTGATGCAAAGTGAACAGAAGAGTGTGGTTTGGATCCCACGGTAACATTCAGGTAGATAGTTCTGCCCATGCTGAGTTTCAGCCCTTGGGAAAATCAGGATCACTTTTACTGGTGCCTCTCTCAGGCTGCTGTATAGTAGATGTGGCAGGTACCTAACTTGTGTCAGTGCCTTTTCAATTCCATTTATTTTGCAAGCAGCTTGAACTGTCTCATTATTGCCAGACAGTATGAGAGCTGAGCCACACTCTCTAATAGTAAAAATACCAATCAGTAAGAGATACTTTTTGTGATCTCTCATCAGACTTAAGGCTCTGTCCCACAGATTATGGTTATGACAAGGCATATAACAATTATTGATGGTACATAAAGGATTTCTCAATTCCTTTTAAGTTCTCCACTACAAAACGCCTTTAGCAATTACTGTGAAAATCACAAGGTTCACATGTTGCTACTTTCGGTTTGCGTATCAGTCAGCCTGAAAGTTTGTGCCTCTGTGGAAGTGTGTGTATGTGGTGGTGCCTAGATGTAATGAAAATGGAGCTTCTTCATTCCTCCCACTTCAAAACCAGTATTTTCCTTGAAATTTAAATCTAGGATAAGATGACATAGCAGGGAAGATGCTTTCTCTGGAAAAGTTGTTTCGTCCAACCCTCTGTCTTGATGACAGACATTGATATAGTGCTGTGCAGCTGCATTCTGCATAAAAACATCTTGTCCCAGTTTCTCACCTTTAAGCATCTTGCATTTGTAACTGAAGGGAAAGTTTATTTCTCTGGAGTAGATTAGTAACTTCTGAGCTGATCTAACCCAGGTTTCTGGGTACCATATTACTAGAGAGGAATGGATAAAAGTTACTACTGATGATGCCTTGCCTCTTGTCTTTGGTATAGTTAATTCTTGTTTGGTGCATCTTGTGAAGAACAAAGATATTTCAAAGAGACCTGACCTTTCAGCAAATACAGTTAAATGAAAAACATGTTTGCTTAAACTTTTGAGTGTTGTGGATTGTGAGAAGAAGGGAGCCCTTCACAGAAAGGAGTAAACCTTTTGTAGGTCACTTATTACAGCCTGCTGCACAGTATTCTTCATGGAGTGAGAGCTTCTGCTTTACTCTTTGTTGTTTATTTGTATAGAGATAACAGCTATGGGATTGAAATTCTTTACAGTACATGTGTATGTGCAAATACAGATGCTTTGTAACACAGGAAGCAAGAGATGGCAGATGGATGCAGCTAACACTCGTGAAGGGCAAAAGGAATAGTGATGAGGCTATAAGAGGTCACAATGGACCAGTGCTTTATATGAAAAAGATGGGGTTTAGGAAGAGAGTTTAGAGAGCTCCTTGCAAGCACAGCTCAGTATTCCCACATGAACTCTTAATGTTCATGTGGCAGGGAATAACGTCCAAAGCCGCATTTGAGTTGTTTGTTATTCTGCTCCACATTCTGACAGTACTAATCACCCCTTACTCTATTTTTACTGTCATGATTTTAGACATTTCTGAATGTAGACAAGCAGAAGACAAAAGGACATTTTTTATTTTGTTCCTGGTGCTCTTTCCCAGTTTGCTTCCTCTGAGAATAGTTCAAAAGAGACACTGTGCAGCAGAAGACTCGGTGCAAGACAAGAAAGCTGACTGAGTTTTGTCCACTAGTTTACTACATGTCTCAGGGCATGTATTGTAAATTTTCAGTTGTAAAATGGGAATTGTTACCAGTGGATGAGGATTGATTAGATGACTGAAAAAATCACCTAGATAGAGCATCAAAGGATCCTGCTTTTTAACACTGTGAGACTTTAAAGTCACTTATTCTATCTAGGTAATGAATTTGGTAGACAGTTCCTTGAGTGAAGACCTTTAAGCCTTGTGAGTAAAAAGCACTGTATAACCATTAACCACTGTTACCAATAATTTCATATGTTCACATTCTTCTCCCTTTTTGTGGGCAATAGTGTGCACTTTTAAGTTTCTGGAAGACAAGGTAACATGATCAGTGCTGAATTCATGTGATCACTTGCTGTGCAACTATCTTGGAGAAAGTACAGGCTTTTTTAAAGTTGTGTCCTTTTCCTCTCCATGCAGCGTCCCATCATCTCCATCTGTTGGGGTCACAGGGATTCGCGCCTGCTGATGGCCTCTGGACCTGCGTTATACGTTGTCAGAGTCGAGCACAGGGTCTCCAGCCTGCAGCTGCTGTGCCAGCAGACCATCGCTAGCTGTCTGCGGGATGACAAGGATATCAGCAAACTGACCCTGCCCCCTCGGCTCTGCTCGTACCTCACCACTGCCTTCATACCAACAATCAAGGTAAAAGGAAAAAATGTGTGTGTGAGGAAGAGGAAGGGGTTGCTTGTTTTCACACCCATGGTGCTCCTAAGTGACAATGGTTAAATTATAAGATATTATCATTTTCGTAATTATCATTTTAAAAGCTTGATTAAGGGTCATTCCTGCCCTCTTCAAGAGCCCACTGATCCATTTGGCACCTATTAAAATCTGAAAATAAGGCTCACTTACGCTGACCTGCATTATTCCATGGGGATGGCCTTTCCAAGGACATCCCAATGGTAAAATATGCTGGTGACGCACAAAGACTTCTGAAGAAGTTCACACTGATGATGATGCTGAGTCATGGTTATAGGAGAGATTCACAGTGGTAAAACTGTTCCCTCCCTAGTTGTTACATGAGTTCTTATATTGTCGGGAAAGGTACACTTCAGATCTGTGGCTGCCCAGATATTTCTACTGATAGTGAGTTCTGCTAACCTTGTTGCTCCAGCGGTGCTATGGAAGAATGGACCAGATATGCCTTCTCCTGTATCACTAGCCGAGCCATCTGCTCAACCCCTTTGCTTCGTGGTTTTGCACTCAGTCACATCTCAGGATTTCCAAAGTCTTTATCACAGCCTATAAACCAGAGCATTAGCTGGTAAATGCCCTATGTTCAAACATACATTTTTGTGTTACATATTTTTTGTGTATGTGTTACAGCATTCTCTTGAGACAGTTTCAGGTCCTTATTAAAACAATGCAGAGCCAGAATAACTAATTTGAAATCAGTGGAGTTGGCCCAGCTTAAATGAGAACAAATTATGCCTATAAAATAATGATTCAGCACAGTTCCATTTGGATACTGCTAATCAGGGCAATTTGTGCGTCTGTGAAACATTTCATTTGCCAGAGAAGAATAAATGCCTTGATGTAACCACAACTACTCAATCTCCAGAGATTCAGAGCATTTAGTGTTTCTAGCATCAGTGCTTCTTAATTCTTTCTAGCGCGCCTACTTCTTCCCAGGATGCTTTCCATGTTGTCCCAGAACAACCCCTGCAGCTCTCCAGAGCATCAGTGATGCTTGCTTGGGTGGGACTGGATGGGACAGGACAGGATGGGATGGGACTGGATGGAACAGGATGGGATGGGATGGGATGAAAGCAGCAGTTGGCTGTAGCAAGGCTGGGAGCCATGACAGGGATCAGAGGAGCAGAGGCAGTACAGGGGCACATCATTGCTGACAGCCCTTCTATCATCTCTTGGAGGGAATGCCAAGATGTGGAGCAGTTGCACGGCTGTGTAGCTGAGAGGCTGAAGTGGGGTTCCCAGAAGCCACATGCCCCTGCTGTTTCATGGGTATTTCTGGAGCCTCCTCAGCACTGCTTTATACTTTCTGCTGGCTCTCCCCCAGCTACATACTTCCACCTATGTTGTCAGCCATGCTTCCAGTGCCTGGCAAGGCACCCTTTTCCCTGCATGCATTCCTCTTTCCCTTCCAGATTGAGGGCTACATTATAGATCATCCCTCAGCCCATGCCCATCTCGCCAGGTTAGGGAGGCTCCTTTTTTCCCCTACTTTTTTTTTCTTATACTTTCATTTTGAAATAAATTGTGTTGACTTATACACATAAGTAGTATTTGTGTCATGCAGGCTATATTGTCCTAGGCAAAAGCAGTCCAACTGCTTTAGGACTGAGCTTTTCATGGATTAATACAGTGTGCTGGCAAGCAGGGCAAAGTAACCCACCCTCATCTTTGTGCTCATATTTCTCCACATTGCATGCAAATAGGCCCTCAGCAAAGATGGATCACATGCTTGGAAGTGATGTAAGAAGTACAAGCTTCTTCCAGAGCTGACAGTGTTGTAGCATAGTGGCATAGCATGTACCAGTACTAACGAGGAATGGGAACCTGAGTGGCCAAGTTCACTTCAAGGGCCAGCAAGAGAAGATACTCTGAAACTTAGACTTGACCACATTACCCAAGTTAAAAGAGAAGTTTTTGATAGAGCCAGAGCTTGAAGACAGGTTTGTTGTCTAATTCAGTGCTCCAACCACAGGTCCAACCTTCCTGATATAACTAGTTTGTTTTCTGTGTACAACTGCTTTTGACCTAACTAAATAATCCACAGCCACTGTCTTGCATATGTATCCTGCATAATCACACAGTAACCTCTTTTAATCTTGACCTGCCAAGTTAGAGTTGGGTTCAAATTCAGTTAGTTGTGTTGGGATTAAGTCACCACAGGAAAAAAAAAATAAAAATAATAACCTATAGGAAACTTTCTCTTTCCTTCCTTCACTTAATGAAGCCTCCTATCCCAGACCCAAACAATATGAGAGATTTTGTCAGCTACCCAACAGCTGGTAATGAACGGCTTCACTGCACGATGAAGCGGACAGAAGATGACCCAGAGGTTGGTGGTCCATGTTATACTCTGTACCTGGAATACCTTGGGGGACTGGTGCCTATTCTGAAAGGACGTCGTATCAGCAAGTTGCGGCCAGAGTTCGTCATCATGGATCCTAAAACAGATGGGAAAGCAGGTAGAATTGAATTTTTGCTCTGTTTAAAAAATTATTTAGAAATACTTGAGATACTAAATCTTCAAGAGTTAAAGAAAATCTAGCTATGCAGGATGGAAGGTGGCATCAGATATTTTTTTTCTGATGTGAAAAAAATCTTTAGCGTGACCTACACTCAGGCCTCTGAAATTATACCATACTGTCTTCTGTTTTACAAATGGGAATTTCCTGTATTTTGAATAGTGGGGAATAGGTTGCTAATTAGCAGAAAATATTCTTTAATCTCAATTTTGAAGTTCAGTTGAATGCTATTCACCCTTCTGAATCATGTTCATCTGAGTTCAAACCATTGGAAATTTGGAGTTTATACTAGGCAGGGTGAAGAATGGTTCATTTCCTCTGCATAGTTTTATCTCAGCTGCTGCCTGTGAATCAGGTTTATGTTTCTGGTGACTGATAGTTGTAATTGATATCAGTTTTCTAAAGCAGCACTTACATTTTCTGGGGCCTGTCTTGATAGATGAAATCTATGGAAACAGCTTGATTTCCACTGTGATTGACAGCTGTAACTGCTCGGACTCCAGCGATATCGAACTGAGTGATGACTGGGCAGCAAAGAAATCTCCCAAAATCAGTCGAGCTAGCAAATCACCCAAACTTCCCAGGTAATAATTTCCTGGATTTTCCTGGATACTTCTTTTTCTTCCTCATGTTTTCTTTTTTTTTTTTTTTTCTTTTTGAATACTGTCTTGATAGCTCATTAAATGAAAAGCAAACTCCTTAGGAGTCTTCTGGAGCAGTAGGGTCCTCTATGGTGTGCAGTTCTGGGGTGATCTTAGAGATTGGTGTTGAGGTGGACTTTAGTGAAGATTCTGGGGCTAAAGGTAATGGGAAACAAGAGGGCACCATTTCTCCCCAGGCAGTCTCGAAGAAGGATTTTATGTACTCTCACACCACTGCCTCTGCCACACGTGAACTCTTGCCACCACAGGATATATTTTGTCCTTCAGACCGTCTGTGTTTTTACCTCCTCTGTGCTTAGGGTCCCTGGTCTAGTTAAAGCCTTTATTTCCTCAGGGGTATATTCAAATTCGTAAGTCCTTGCATAGGTGGCATAGATCTTTCCATAGGCAGCACTGCTGCTGTGGTGACCTTGCAAGGGAGCCTCAGCAAACAGATCCTCCTAAACACTGGGTTTAAACACTGGCTTCTGTAATGATATGCAAATAAGCTTATTATTCATCTGGTTGCTTTTCTGCCAGCTCTTCATTTTATTCATTATGTACCTAGGACTCTCCACCTGCACAGAGCCTCACTGATGTCTGTGATGCTTCTCATAGGCACTGACGTCTATCTGCCAGCTTCGTGTTATGGGATTGAGGCCCTGATGCCTTCTAGCTGCAGATGATACTTTTACAAAGACCTTACATTATGAGCTTGCCCTAGTATGAGGCAAAGCAACTGCATCCTTTTATATGTGAACATAATGTGTGAAATACTGAAGTTTAGTACAACGTGACAAAAGACCCATCAGTTCCTGAGCCTAAAACTGAAACGGTACAGGAAAAACAACTATCCTGCGTCCTTGGTTTTCTAGGACTGTACTTTAAAAATGTAACTTCTGTTAATTTTTTTTTCGACCAGTGAGGTTTTTCAGGTGCTTGATCTCTTATTCATGACCCCCTTTGTATAGTGGGAGGTAGGAATAACTTTTGTTTTAGAGTAAGAGCACTGACAAAGTTGGTGGAGCCTTGTTTTGCTGTACTAATGTGGAGACCTGCCAGCCGAGGTGTCATGCTTCCATTTCTTGAGGCTTTGCTCAAAGTCTGCATAGCTGAAATAGCTCAGCCCTACACCTTTTTATGGATTAGTGAAGGATATGTTGTATTTGGCAGAACTGCTGTAAGCTTTGTTAAATGAATTAGAAAGCATCCTGTCAGAGTTACTGCAAGTGTGTCAGGCCTTATATATCTTTAAATTTGACCCACCTCTCACATCCTGTAGACTTTACAGTCTTCATTACTCACTTACAGGACACCATTCCAATTGTTTTCATTACATCTTTACATCCAAAGACATGACATTTTATGTGATTATTGATGATTCCAATTATTGCTTCATATGCAGAATCAATATAGAAGCTCGCAAATCTCCAAAGATGTCACGAGCCGCACAGGAGATATCAAGGTCACCAAGGTTACCAATAAGGAAACCATCTATTGGTTCACCAAGCCTAACCCGAAGAGAGTTTCCTTTAGAAGATATTACTCAGGTATTGTGCACATTGTTACCAGATCTGAGTCCAGATGCATCTGCTTCCAGGAGCAGCAAGTTGTCATATAGATCCAGTGATCACTAATAAGAAATTTTAATTTCCCTACAGTAACTAGATGGAACAAGTAGAAAATTGCATGTTCCATTTCAGTGTTAATGTTTGAAAGTGTCAATGGAATATCAGGCATTTTGTGATAAATCCTGGCACCACTAACTTCTGTTAATGTGAATCTATTTGAGAGGTTTCATTCTAGGTGATGTTGTTGGCGGTTTGAAAATGTATGCGAAAATGCTTCTTACTCGGTTGCTCAGAGCTGTCCTAATGCCACCATAGTTCTCTGCTTTGCTAGGAATTGCAGAGATAAGGAAATGCTTGCTTCAGAGGGCCACATGTTTTCTGTTTCATAATTCACAGAATCATAGAATGGTTTGGGTTGGAAGGGTCGGTTAGGGTCATCTAGTCCACCCTCCCTGCAAAGATCAAGGACATCTTCAACTAGATCAGGAACATGGAACAGCCTTAATTGGAAGGAAGGCAAGGAATTAGCACTTTGTGCTCTTTGTAGTGTTCATGACCTGTGGGTAAATGAAACTTAACAGGCTGTAGAACTGTCTGAGTTACATATTGTATTAATACCAGTCTGCATTCTTTTCATTTTTTTTTGTTTTATTTCCGTAGTTTTTTTCTGCTCTCTTTTCACTTTTTCCTTTATATTGAAACGTTCTAGATCACTTACATAGCAGTGGTAGACAGGACCAAAAGTCCTTTGAATAGGGCAGGAGACCAGGGGCTTAGATCCTGCTGCTGATATTATGCTGCAGCATAACTCTTGGCCTTTGAGAAAATCTCTTGGACTTTCAGACCTATAATTTGATCACCAAGGAAGCACTGGTTTGGGAAGGTGCTTTGGAAGCTCCAGGGAGAATGTGTTTGTCATTATGAGTAATTAATTTCTGTTTGATTTATTGTTCTAGAAAGTGATCTGTAAATATAGAACCAAGGGACAGGGTGTATTACTTTCTGAAATACACAATAGCCATGCTCTTGTTGTGCAGGAGAAGCAAGTGTCTGAAAACAGACCTGTTCTCACTAGAGCAGCCATCGTGTTGTCCAGTTCTTCAACAGCTTTAATCAGCCAGTGTGGCTGTTGTATACATCATTTCTGATGGTGTTCAGATATCAAAATGAGACGTCTTAATGACTGGGTATAACAGTTGCTACATAGGCACATTAGGCTGTTTCAATAAAATAAAAACAAGAGAAGCTGAAATTGTATTATCACTTGCAATAGCTTGATTGCTCTGAAGGTTTTTATTAGAGCTTGATACATATTTTATTAGGTGAAAATGATCTTGTTTTTGCTTTGCAGCACAACTACCTTGCTCAGGTCACATCTAATATCTGGGGAACAAAATTTAAAATTGTGGGTTTGGCTGCTTTCCTACCAACTAACCTTGGTGCAGGTAAATGTAAACTCTATTGACTTTTTGCATGTCAAACTCCTTCTAACAAATAATAAATTTATGCCCTGTGATTCTTTTTAAGTCATCAAAAGGCTTCTTTAACAAAGCTCTTATTTTTTTGTGGACAATAAGAATTAGATTTTACAAAATTCACTGTAACTAAAAGAGATTGAAATCTCTAAATACAATAACAAGATGATCAATAAAATGCTCAAAGTCTCTGCTATAATAAAAAGATGAATCAACAGTCAAGCCCAGACCTTTATTTTTACTGACTATTTGAACAAACCCCCCAAAATAAGTCATTTTTTGCAAGAAGACTACAAAAATTAGTCTTTAAGTTGCTGTAATAGAAATATATTTAAAACTCAGATTTTTATAGTCATGTAGCTACTAATTATACTGAATAATGTTTAAAAAGCTCTTACAGCATCATGCTCAGGATTCCTCAAGCCAGTGCATAGCCTTATCATATGGTTCTCTTGCTGGAGCATCAGTAAATTTGTAGCCTTCATTAAAAGTAGCAGTTGTCTAGTCTCTTGACATTCTTCTGTGTATGCCATTTCTCCCTAGATAGTCCTGTTGAAAGGAAGAAGACTAAATAAAGAACAGGGTACCTCTTAGCAGAACTAAGCTCTGAATTGAAATATTAATGCAATTATAGGAGTTTTACAAGCTCTTTTGAAAACTTTCTTTTTTCTGTGTTGCATTATATAGATAGGTCAGGACTACATAATGATGCCTTAGATGCAGAATTAGTTACATAGATATATTTTGTGGCTGAATTGACTTCTGTTAGACAAGAGGTGGAGTCCCAATCACTGGGGAGAGGACCTCTGGCCCAATCTCCAGGCAAAGGTTGTCCTCTCAGGATGTAGTCTCCCTGCAGACAACCAGTGCTACTACTATAGTGCAGTGGCACCTTCTACTTAATAAAGTGTTACGGAAACCCTCAGGTTTGTCCCAGCCACTTGGTGTTCAAGTAATTTAGAAATTTCTGACATCTTCAATTTGCAGTGATTGTCAAAAGATAGTGTAAGAATGACCCTACTGGTTCAGGCCAGAAGTTGTTCTAATTCTCTCATTTTCAGTGACGGATATCTAGGGAAGGATATAAGTGTAGACTAAGTGTGTGGTGATACTTCCTTCAGATGTTGTCCCAGTCTCCAGTGGTTTGGGTCCCAGGGACTTCCGGAGCCAGGAGGTGTTTCTTTGTGTGTAGTAACTCTCAAAAAATTTCCTTCCTGAGAGCTTTCCAATTTTCCCCTAAACTCATGTAAGTCGGTGTCATCCTGTGGTGAAGAGCTCCAAAAGTAGAACGGAAAAATTATTTTCCTTCCATAAAAATAGATGTGAATACCAGATGAAGTAATTCATTATTTCTACAGATTATTTAACTACAGAGATGCTGCTTCTATTTAAAGAGAAATAGTTGAAAGTAATAATCTCTTTTATCCTGTTTATGTGAAATGTTACATAGTGGTTTGGCTGAGAATGGCCCATATATGCATTTGTTCATTAACACATTAAATAAAAATAGTCATAACCCTTCTGTCTGCTTTGAACAGATTCTTTCTTAGCTTTAGATGCTCTTTGTGTAACAGATTTTTTTAGTTTCTTTATTGTTATACTCTTTCTCCAGTAATATATAAAACCAGTTTGCTGCATCTTCAGCCCAGGCAGATGACAATTTATCTCCCAGAAGTGCGGAAGATTTCAATGGACTACATTAACCTGCCTGTCTTTAATCCAAATGTTTTCAGCGAAGACGAAGATGATTTACCAGGTAAGGAGGAGCTGGAGGTCTGCCATGATATGGGTTAAGCTAGATGGAGGACAGATTACTTGTGTCACTAGCCCCCTCTGGTAAACACACAAATCAAAATCCCTTCGTCTGATGGTATCCTGCACAATTGAATTAGAATAAGGCCAATATGTATTACAGACATTGTTTTCTAAAATATGTGGAAAATATAATCTGTATAGAACTGCTAATTTTCAAGTTTATTGGAAAATGAATCATCTTCTATTTAGTTCACTAAGTATTCTCCGTAGACTAAAGCCTTGCATTCTGCATCTTTGTAGGACAGAATTGTAATATGTTGGAAGCCCAAAAAGGTCATTCTTGTGACCTGATAGCAGCAAAGCACAGCCTCTGATAGGGGCTTGGGTGGGAGGGCAGGTTCCTGTGAAACTCAGCCACCCTTTGAGAAGTGATAAATGCCCATTTGGATTTTTATCAACACCAAGTCTTACAGAAAGGCTAAAATAGTAAAGTAGTCTATAAACAAGAGGAGGGACCATGAAGACTTTCTCATTTCACTGAGATGTAAGGTAGCAGAAGTTTGAAGCAATGTGGGGAAGGCTTGGATGCAGGTGATGTGAATATGACAGGTAAAAGGACTGGCACTACTCAGGACCTCCTCCGGTTTAAAAAAAAAAAAATAATCATCATGCCAATAAAATTAACAAATAATAGACAAGAAGATAAATTAATATCTCTTCAGAATTTTCACATCAGTGAGGGATTCCTGTTGCCAGATCACAGGTAATACAAAAATTAAATAGAAAAAAAAAGTTAATATAAAGTCTTCACATCCCTTCCTGAAAATTGGAGTAGATCTGCAGTATCAATTCCTTTTATATTATTAAAAGAGCTGAAATGCTACTCAGAATTGCAGATTGATGAACAGCAAATAAATATAGGGAAAATTGTTAAAGAGTTTTGTTATAGCTTTTTGAGGAGGCTAGTAAAAGAATCATACTACCCTGTCCTCTGTAACAGCCTTCCTCTTCTTGTCCACTTTTTTCTTTTTAGTGTCTTCTGAAAATTCATTTCTGACTTAGCAAACAGAAGCTACTTAAATTGTAAAAAACATTTCTGGGGATATCCTTTCTTAAAGCCTGCGTATAAAGGAAAAAAGTGCCATATACTACTGGGAAAAAATATTGTAGTGTAAATAATGATTACATGATAGATTAAAAAAAAACATAGTAGAAATCTCCTCTTGGGCAATGGAATGTTCATAGTGAGGTACTCTTGGGGCAAATGATTTTTAATGTAGTCAGTGAAGATTTGGCAAGGCAAATGGACACTGAGTTGATTTAACTTGCAAATTATGCAAACAAATCAATTAAAAACCACTGGAGAAATGAAAAAAACACTGGTTTTAAACACTTTGGGATATTAAGCAACACTGCAAAGAATGAGATTTTGTTTGATAAGGCACTTAATACCCATGACAGCAACTTTCTGTGTTGCTCAAGCCAAGCTAACAATTAGACTTGGAGCTGTGGCAGATAAATTGCTAACCTGCAGATATCAGGATGAAAGCATGGCCTGCCAGCTGAGCCCAGAACCACGCTGCCTTAGGGTCAGTTAAATTTAGCTGTCAGTCTCCTTCTAAAGGAAAGAACAGAACTACCATAAAAATTTGCCAGCATAGCCACAGAACGGTCTATACACCTACCATGTTTGTGACTGATACTGATAAAAGCCTAAAGCTATTGAAAATATAATTATAGGGCATACGTAGATGAGTAGAATTTTAATTAAAAGTTAATTAGGAACTGGGCAGCAGCTGTTCACCACCACCACAGCCAGCTGTGGGAAACTTTTCCTATATACATTTACTTCTTTTCACATTTCTGGTTGCAGCCTGTCCAAACACTGATGCTGAAGTTACCCTGACTACAGTACCCACTTGAATTTTTTTGGCTTCTCATCTATTTCCTCACATCTTTTCCTTACAAGTCTTTCAAGAACTTTTATAAGTTTTGTCTGTATTTCCATCATATTCCTCTCTCTGTTTCATCTTCCTTCTTTTTGCGTTACTGGTTGCTTTGTCACCCACTATACCCAAGAGATAATAACCTTCATTTTCCCAACTGCTGTCTGTATTCTTCAGTTTTCATAGGCTCATTGGGTCTGGAGTCATTATACTAGATACTGTACAGTGCCTTCAGTACTTTCCTTTTCTTTTCCTCCACTTCCTTTTTTTTTTTTTCTTTTTTGATGACAACAGACATCCGAGTCAAAACTCATAACCGCTGTCAGATCAGGGTAGGCTTGAGGAGCATCATTTCATCTTCCTTCTGAAGCTCAGTTCAGCGTGGCACAGTGACACCTGACTGGCTCTAGCATGAGTCAGCCTGAGCCCACGGGGACGTTTTTGTGCCTCACCATCAGGTAGCAGCAGCCCTAGAAGAAGCCAGGAGGCCATGCTAGTGGTCCTAGGACTAGGGGCAAGGAAGAGATGGCAGCAGCCACAGGTCTGTGAGTGGATTTTTTTGTGTGATGTATTTATTGTCAAAAAACTTCCCTGAAAACTAGTGAGTCCTGATTGAGCAAAACTTTCATTGATTTAAGTAGGAGTAGTTAAAATTGGCTGATAAGTGAATGGTAATTCAGACCTGTCGGGCAACTCCTTGCTCTGTGAAAGTCCATGGTAATCATAGCGTAGACCAAAAGTGAGCTCTGAACTCTACCTCTGAAGCATCACTGCCAATAAATTACTTTAAAGTTGACCACCAGCTGTTACAATGGGAATCAGTGGAGACAGGCTGGCTTACTTGATCAAACTAAGATCTGATCCGTTGATTTGGGGATCTGAGAGCAATCCATTCAGATGCAGCAGAGCTCTTAAGTGAGTACATGAAGATAGCAGGTAGTTTAAAAAGTCAAAGGTAAAGTGGAATGACAAAGTACAAAAGATGTGCAGTGCTTTTTTCTTCTAACTAGCTTTAAAAAACAATTTCTCCCCACTTTCTGAATTTTATGTCAACGCTGCTGTGAAATTTTCCCATTAAACATTTTTTAGCAACCCGCGTGTCTTTCACAAATGTTGAAGAAAACTCAAAAATACATGACACTGCTTCGGAAAAATTCCCCATTTTAGTGCCTGTTCCCCAACCGCTTGCCTAACCACAGAAAAAACTCGTGGCCGCTGGCCTGGGGCAGACCCACAGCACAGGCCTTGCCGCCGCCATCTCGTGCGAGGGGCCCCCAGGGCAGAGGAGGCCGGGGCGGCAGGTGACACGCTGTTGTTGTTCGTTTGCAGTGCCCGGTGCTCCCGGTGCCCCCGCCAGCAGCCCGCCGTGCACCGTCAACATCCCCATCGCCCCCATCCACAGCTCAGCCCAGGCCATGTCGCCCACGCAGAGCATCGGCCTGGTCCAGTCGCTGCTGGCCAATCAGAACGTGCAGCTGGACGTGCTGGCCAATCCGCCGGCGGAAGCGGGGGGTGAGGGGGCGGGGCCTTTCTCAGGGGCACCGGGCCGTTTTCCGGGCCCCGGGGCGGGGGCGCTGGTTGGGGGGGAGCTGGGCCGCGCTGCCCCCGTGCCCCTGGCCCTCGCCCCGCCGCCCCCCGCACCCCCCGCCATCGCCCTAGCCGACCTGCGGGACCACAGCGACCGCGAGCACGAGCCCCTGCCCAAGGCCAAGGCCCCACGGCCAGGCCCACAGCTGGGGGAAGGGGACGCCGTCATCTTCGGGGCCCCTCAGGAGCTGCAGCTGAACAAAATGAACCCCCCACCACCTTACCCTGGAACCATCCCCGCCGCGCCAACCGCTGCCCTGCCGCCACCACCGGGTCCCCCGCAGCCGCCCCTCGACCTCTGCCTAAAGAAGGGGGAGTTCTCCCTCTACCCAGCAGGGCACTACCAGACGCCCCTGGGGTACGAGCGGATAACAACGTTCGACAGCAGCGGGAACGTGGAGGAGGTGTGCCGGCCTCGCACCAGGATGCTCTGCGCCCAGAACACCTACACCCTGCCGGGGCCCGGCAGCTCCGCCACCTTGCGCATCACCGCCACCGAGAAGAAGATGCAGCAGCCCTGTGCCAGCGCCACCCTGAACCGGCTCACGGTCCCCCGTTACTCCATCCCAACCGGGGACCCGCCGCCCTACCCCGACATCGCCAGCCAGCTGTCCCAGGGCAGAAGCATCACGCAGAGGCTAGACAGCAGTATCATTCATGCAACTCTGCGGAGGAACAGCAGAGAGGCAGCCCTGAAAATGGCTCAGCTGGTAGATGGCCAGAGAGCCACCTTGCAACTTCCCCCAAAAGCCAAGAGCAGCGTTGTGGCAGGGCAGTACCAGCAGCGAGTACCCACCGCCTTGTATACCTGCAGCCAGTGCAGCAGCAGCGGCAGCGGAGGCGGGAGCAACTCGAGCGCTGGTGGTGTGGGCGGCATCTCTAGTGCCAACACTAGTAGCAGCACTTCCAGTATCGGTGGCATGAGACCTGATCTGAGCACGGGGAGTGGCTCCCAGCACAGCTCTGTCGTTGCTCACTCTGTCAGTACTTCGCCTCTGGCCTCCCAGTCCTCCTACAGCTTGCTGAGCCCTCCTGACAATTCCCGTGACCGAGCGGACTATATCAACTCCGCCTTCACGGAGGACGAGGCCCTTTCTCAGCACTGCCCGGTGGAGAAATCAATACGGCACGTACCCGTGTCCTTGACGGAGGCTGCCCTCAGTGTAAAACGGCCACCGCCATACCAGTGGGACCCTATGGTGAGTGAAGAGATATGGGTTCCTCAGGAAAGGACATCTCAGAGCTCAGTGCCCAACCCTCTAAAACCTACTCCTCTCATCATTGGTCAAGCTCAACATCTGGATATGTCTCGAGTGCCGTTTGTTTCCCCCAAGTCTCCAACCAGTCCCACTGCCACTTTCCAGACAAGTTATGGGGTTGGAGTACCTTACCCAGGAAGCTACAGTGCCCCTCCCCTTCAGGGAATGCAGCCCCCCTGCTCCCCCAAAGAAGCTCTGGCCCCAACGCAGTTTGCACAGCAGGAGCCCACCGTTGTGCTTCAGCCAGGTTATCCGTCCAACCTCTCCTATTGCCCTTTGCCACCCATGTACCCAGGAAGTAGCGCCTGCTCTAGTTTACAGCTGCCACCGATCGCCTTGCACCCGTGGAGCTCCTACAGCGCCTGCCCACCCGTACAGAACCCCCAGGGCACCTTGCCCCCCAAGCCGCTCCTCGTGGTGGAGAAGCCAGTCATGTCTCCCCCACCAGCAGAGCTGCAGGGCCACGTGGGCACAGAGGTAATGGTGGAGACGGCAGACACCTTCCAGGAGGTGCTCTCCTTGACGGAGAGCCCCGTTCCTCAAAGGACAGACAAATTTGGCAAGAAGAGCAGAAAGCGCCTAGACAGTCGAGCTGAGGAAGGAAACATGCAGGCTATCACCGAGGGCAAGGTCAAAAAGGAGGCAAGGACGCTGACTGACTTCAATTCACTAATATCCAGCCCTCGACTGGGGCGGGAGAAGAAGAAGGTCAAGAGCCAGAAAGACCAGCTGAAGTCCAAGAAGCTAAACAAGACAAATGAGTTTCAGGACAGTTCAGAGAGCGAGCCAGAGCTTTTTATCAGCGGGGATGAGCTGATGAACCAGAGCCAGGGCAGCAAAAAGGGTTGGAAAACCAAAAGGAGTTTGAGGACAGCCAGCGAGCTGGACGAATTCAAGTGCCGGAAGGCCAGTGAGAAGGAGGATGGGAGGCTGGGGAGCCAGGGCTTTGTGTACGTGATGGCCAACAAGCAGCCGCTGTGGAATGAGGCAACGCAAGTCTACCAGCTGGACTTTGGAGGGCGGGTGACCCAGGAGTCGGCAAAAAACTTCCAGATTGAGCTGGAAGGACGACAGGTAGGAGGGGGTGGCACACAGGGGACAGGGTGGGGACAGGGTGGGGGAAATCAGTGCCAGAAATAAGCTCTGCCTGTCATGTGGCCAAGTGCCTCCTGCTCGTGGTAGCTGCTCCGTGAAAAAAAGCTTTGCCACATGGTTGATAAAAAACAGCTGTCAAAGGTCTAGATTCAGAATGGAGGGTGAAGATCAGCTTTTAAGGAAATGTACAAAATATATTTGGTCTTACTGCAGTTGGAGTTGGAAATAAGGTCCTCTTTTAGTCTCACAGGCTCTCGCTGCTGAAGGTAGGTGGGTTTTTTAATAAACACAACAGATCTCCCTAACAGTCGCTGCATTTGCTGTCGGGGGTTGTGGATGGCAGCTAGCTGGGTGAACGCTGCTCCCTTCATGCGATGCTCACAAAGGTCAGCCAGTCAGCAGGTGGCTAAGGCAGAGATGATGGACAGGCAGTTAGGTTCCCTCCATACCAAAATTTCCCCTTGTGGGTTACTAGGCCTCTGGGGCTAGAGGAGGGAGGCACTGACCCTCCCCTGAACAAAGTGCTCCTGGGCTGCTTCTGAACAGCCCGTGGGTAGAGGGATCTGTAGATAGTTCAAAAAATCAAAACATTTTATTTTAGGCTCTCTCACCTTAGCCTGAGTGGGATGTTACTACACCAAACCCAGGCTATTAAGTGGTACCAGTCAGCAGGACACTATACTTAGACTCAGGAGACATATTTATTTCTTTGTCCAGCTGTCCCATCTCTGTAAGACCTTTTTCATTTATTAAAGACATCAAGCCTTTCAACTCCTTCTGATTTAACTTGGTGGTTAGATATCTTAAATATCGAACAGGCATGACCAGTGGTGGTCTGTTGGTTTTGTTTGTCTGTAACAGAAGCTCATTAAAAAGGCAGTGATCGGAGCCATTAATACCCCTTTCTTCTTCAGTGAAATGTCTGTGGATACGTGCCCATGGACAGCTGTCCCAAATCACCCAGCTGTAAGTTTTGTTGGTGGAGGGAACAAAGTCTGACTCGGTTTGCACTGACAACCTCCATTCTAGCTCAGGGATCTTCACTTAGAGCAAATACGATCTGGGTTTCTGGTGAAGCAAATGATAAAAGCAGTAGTAATAAGCCAAACTTCAGATATTCCCTGAGGAAGAACAGTGAACAAACTGCCTAGCCTTTCTTTACATTTCAAACAGTTCCCACTGCCCCCTTGCCAACTCATTCTCGGTGTAATTACGTTCTAGTGAAGTCTATGCAAAGGAAAACAGAACTACCAAGAACATACAGCTTACTGACTATGAAGCACTAGAATCAGGAGATTGTGTTTTCCCCTTCCCTGAAAGCTCCTTTATTTGAAAACAAAATGTGTTTTCCTGATGGGCTGATGATAGGATCTCTGCAAGGGAAAGAATGATATTTTCCTGCAGAAAGCATGGTGCTGGTGTAACCCACATCTGCTGAAGGAATTGGTGACAATTACTTACGCCAATGCTGTATAGAGTCTAACATTTTAAAGCTTAATTTACTCTGTAGAGTCAAGTATTGCAAATACTCTATACAGACTGATAGTACAGCGCTCTTACTTTTCTCTGGCATCATACCCCATTCTGTGAGTAGCCCCATTCATATTAGGTCAGGAGGTGAGGTGTTCATACAAAGGAGCAAAACCATTTCGCTTTTACTCTTCTGTGATTCCTTTTCTGTGGTTTACTTTTTTTGACCTTGTTCTCTTTTTTCCTTCCTTTCTCCTCTTCCCCTGCTTCCCAGGTGATGCAGTTTGGAAGGATTGATGGCAATGCTTATATTTTGGACTTTCAGTATCCATTTTCTGCAGTGCAAGCCTTTGCTGTTGCTCTGGCTAATGTGACTCAACGCCTCAAATGAACAAGCAGAGACAGGAGAGAGGAAAATGTTAACCTTCTCTTGAAGTCCAAACAGGAAAATGTCAGGGCAGCCTGCTTTAGGTGTGCAGAGGTGCCTGGGAGCGAAGAAGGCAGTAAAACTGGAAAAGTCTCTTGGTGCCCAACAGAAGGGCATTAATTCTAATCAGTCATGGGGTGGAGGGTGGGGGGCTGTTTTCTATTTTGTTTGTTTGTTTGTTTGTTTTCAGGTGTTTTGGTTTTTTTTTCTTTTTAAGCATTGTGCTGGGTCTCAGAAAGAGCGAAGGGTTGAGAGCCGTTTAGTGTTATGTGGAGAAGTGTGGCTTTTGGCTTGTTGTGGTGGTTCTGCCGTGTTTGCTACAGTAGCTGATGTAAGCTCATAGGGGGATTAAAAAAAGACTGCTCTTTTTGATAGACTGCCTTATATCACGCTGTTCTTTTTAAAACAGGGAACATAACTTTTTTTCTGGTCCAGTTTGTACTACTACTACTACTACTACTGCTACTACTACTACTACTGCTACTCCTACTCTACTACATCAGTGATAGCAGCAAAAAAAAAAAGAAGCTATAATACTTGAAGACACATGTTTCTTCTCTGATTTCTGATAATAACTGAGCACCACAAGTTCCAAGGAGGCTTATGTAGGTCAATGCTTAATTTATAAATAATGATGTATTATTCAGAAGAGAAACAGTTGTTACCAATGGGTGGTTTAAAAACCTGTCTGCTTGTTTTGTGTGCTGTTGTTGGGGATAAACATCTTTCAGTTGGTGACAGAAGATAGAGGAGGAAATAATTACAAGCATTGCTTCTTTGCTATTGGGGATAAACACAGGGGAGGAAGTAAGCATGAGCATTGCTTCTTTGCTCATATTGATCAGCAGTATTCTCTGATTTGGCCTGTAGCTGGGAGAGGTACAGTGTGACCAGATGTACACCTGAGGTCCTGCCTGTACATGCTCCTCATTTAAATGTGTTTTATAAACAAAGTCTTTCAAGCAAATGAGAAGGCCCAGTGTATTCAGTCGTCTTAGCAATCAGTATGAATCAAGTTCTACAACAGTGTATCAGTGCTTGAATTAGGAAGGAGAGAGAAGTGTATCATTACAAGAAGCAATTTCATCAGGAGAACAATTTCATTACAGGAAACAACGTCATGGCTGGCTGGAGAACAGATTAGTTGAAAGAAGAAGGAAAAATTGGACAGAATCATCCCTTTTATCACCTTGATACTTGAGTAGTCTTTGTGACTGTGGTTTGAGAATATAATGCTCCAGCTAAGAGCAGGAAGCCAAAGTTTACATGGAGTGTTACAGAGGAAGGCTTAATAAAGGTAGCATGACTCTCTGCCATTCTTTCTGCTGGACATGCAGAGCTGTTGAGCATTTCAGAAGGGTTGCTTGCACAGAAGAGATTCTGTGTTGTCCATGTGTTGTGCACGTGTTTATTTGCTTTCTCTCCTTGCCTGCATTTTGCTACAGAATACGTTTTGGTATGGAAGTAGTTTCCCCAGTAATACACAAAACCCCAAACTATTTACGTAATTATTTGGACATTAGATTACAAAACAAAACTGCAGATTTCCTTCAGAAATTACTCTTTTGAAGTGAAAGGTACACTGAGAAGGATAAGTTGGTTGAGGTGTCAGTGGCTGCTTTGTCTTTGTCTTTCATCCAGTTTAACTTCTTACTTGAAAAACTTGGTATAACTTAAGGTGAATAGGTGTGATTTTCTCTCTTCATTTTTCTTAAATCCTAACAGTAGGGCAGATGTGAGTTGCATTTGATTTGTTCTAGAGGAACATACTGCATAAGATAAGACCCTGGTGTAGTAGAAGTTACCAACATACAGTGAGGTTATAACTGCTGCTCTGCTGAGGCTTCTAGAGCGGTACAGCACAGAGGGAGTAATGCCAGAGAGGCATTTCAGAGAGTTGCCAAGGGAGATGACAAGGCAGGTCACTCACAGGTAATGTCCTACAGAGTAAGGTAAAGACCTGCAAGATGGTTTCCTTAGAGAGAGGAAGCAGAGGTAGGAAGGAGGTAGTGGGTGAGGGGATGGTACCATCCCTTGTATTATCCCAAAGCTCAGCAGCTTCTGCTTGTGTGTGGGAGTGGTCAGGCACAGCAGTCCCCTTGGCATCTAGCAAATTGTTGTTTGTCCATCAGTTGCCTGGGCCTATTTGTATTCTTTCTCACGTGCGTGATTTATTCAGCAGTTTGAGTGCCTGTGTATACAATATGTGTGGGACAGAGGAACAGACGTGAATTTGGCTCTGGTCCCTTAAAAATCAATGGAAGCGTTTCCCTTGGATTTTTGTGGAGGAAGCACTATTTAGCCTTATGTCTATATTGAGTTATATGCTGTACAAAAAGTAGGTTGAATTCTCAGGCCACTGATTCCAATACACAAAAAGGTAAGTTGGCTGATGAGAATCCTCCCCCGCCCTAAGGTCTGTGCTAACCGGTCATACTCTAATTAGGGTAAAACAGGCACACACTGAACACTGTAAGAGAAGAAACACACCACAGCTTGCTTGCGTGCTTGCTGAGGGAAGGGCCACTCAGTCACAGGTTAGAAATCTTCAGCTGGAGGAAACATCATCTGTAGTTTTAAGCCAAAATTGTTAGTACATGGAAACAACATGAATGTTTTTTCTGAACAAAATCAGATCTAAATAAAAGGACTTCTGCATGCAGTTTTTTTAGCCTTCTAGGGAAAAGTATTACTTTTCACTTGGTTCATTGCCAAATTTTTCCGATTATCAGCAGTTTTATGCTAACAGAGAACCAAAAAATGAAACCCAATACAAGTAGCAGAGCTAGTAATTTGGTATCATCAGCCCAGGTCATGATTGCATCCTTCTAACAGCACTTATAAAGAGCCTTGATATAGAGAGACCTGGTTTCTGCCCCAGCAAAGCACAAGGAATAATTATCAAAAATTAGGAAAATAAATGTAATTTCCAATTTACTTGTCAGAAAATGCTATAAGATAAGATAATCTTTTATCTTTTTGAAAATAATTTAACAGCATCCTTGTAACTGAGGTTTTTGATGGTGTAGAGAATACTCAGTATTAGAGAATGAAAATACTCTCAAATATATAGAATTTTAATGAAAGGAATGGGAATTAGGTAAATGTCTGAGTGTGCAACTGGATCCTAAATTACGTAAAGAACAAGTAAGACACTTGTTTTATTTTTCATTGAGATACAATATAGGAAGCAAATTTAAAAGCCTCCCACAAAATAATCACTTAGATACTGAAGATCGCTATTGCATTCAGCCAAAAGATAGATGTTACGTTTTATATTTCATTAGTAAACCCCAGGTTTTCCATAGATAACTAAGTTCTTCAAGGAAGAATGTAGCAAAGTGTTCAGAAATACCTAGTTCTTTTATACATATGGTAATTTCCAGTAGTTAAGTATGTTTTTTCCAAAGCTTTTTTTAGTTGTGCAATAATTGTGACTGTCTAGGGGGTTTACGGGGTTTTTGTTGGGTTTTTTGGTTTTGTTTTTTTTAGGGAGTTTTGAGTGGATTTTTAAATATAATTTAATGCAGGTTTCCTGTTAATGTCCAAAAGACAAATTATTTATCTTGCATAATGTATTAAGTGATTTAGGGATTATTTTATTACTACGTATCAGTGAGTTACACACACTTTCTTATTTATATTTAAAGAGCATCTTTGTAAGTAATTGTTTGCTAGCAGTATGTTTTGCTGCCAGAAGTTAAAATGCGTATAAGAAGACCTGTTTTTTGCTGGATAGTATGAAAAATTCCATAATGCAGGCAGGCAAAAATATTTTTTTGGCAGCTGAACAGAGTGAGTTTGCTATGGAGGACTGCGTAGACTACAAAGAGTGTACATGACTTCTTTGAGACCTGCAGAAATCTGTCCTTCTCTACTGTTCTCCTTCTTTGTTTCTAACTATATGTTTCACTTGGGAGTGGTTTTAAAAATACAAGGCTTGATTTGCTTTCCCTCTTCTTAGTACAGTGCTTTTTCTTGAAGTATAAAATAAGGTAGGTTATGTGATAAAAGAGGGTATAATGATATAGGCTCAGTTTGTAAGAAGTTCATTGCATAGTTTAGTAGGGTTTGGCAATGCTGTAATTCAGTGCTATGCAGAGATACAAACTAGCTTGGAATAAGCCAGCTGAGGCATGAGAAATAGTGTAGCAGTAGATGCATTTTCCACTGCTCAGACTAATAACACTCCTTCTTCAGCTGTGTTCAGCCGATTCCAACACAGCCATGATGCTCCTCATATCTGAGCTAGCGCTGCACAGACCTGGTGGAGCTGAGCCCTGAGGCTGCTTGCAGCAGCTTTGACTCTTTAAGATGCTCCATCAGAAACGCGGAGGAGCAGGCATTCCTCCACTCGTCCTCAGAGGTCTGCTCCAAGAGCAGCGTGACGCTGCCACAGGATTTGGGTGCAGCAGCTTTGGGCAGTGAGAGCCTCGATGCCAGCCAGTGGCCATGGTGGCCATTTGAGGTCAGAGTCTGCCCCACTGGAGTTGCAAAGGGATGCAACAGAAAACCTGATTCTCTTGAAACAATATTCTTCAAAATATCATAGGAATATAGCACCTAACAGAGTCTAAAAATTGAAACTTAAAGTCCAGTATGAAGTACACCATGCATGGTGTGGCAAATTTTAGCTTGAAACAGTGAGAATGTTGTGTTTCTGCAGTATCATGTTTCTGTAACACCCTAAGAAAGTATGAGAAGGAGGGGGGTGAAAGAGTTAAAAAAAAAAATTACCACATTATTAATTTTGCACTCAGTTCCAGAGGTAGCAGTAACATGTGCCATGGGATGACTGAATATTGGTAAATCTGCACACAGGTTCATGTCAGTTAGATAAACTTCCTGTGATGCAACTGCAAGCAAAACAGTTCCACATTTCTCTCTCCAGTTTTGTTCCATTGTTTTTATGAAGATGCATGAAGGTCTGCAGGTGTCAGACAAAGATATCTGACTTTGCTGAGGCTTTGAGCCAAGACTTTCCATAGGTCCAGGCTTTCTTTGATGTGTCATTTTAGTGCCCTCTCAGAAATTCCAAACAGATTTCGGAGCTTGCCTGATTGTTGCTTCAGACAATTCCTGTGCATTTACTTTTTGCAGCCTGGTGCATGTGAGCCTATGTTATCTTGGTGCCCTGTTACTTGTCAGAAGCAGTTCAAATCCTCATATGAAGAGACCAGCATGTGCAAAAACTGATTTGATTGAAAGAAAGAGGAGAGAAGACAGAGTGAGTTTTCACTAGCTTTTAAGAATGTGTTTCCCAGAACAAGTTTGGAAATTACACATTTCTGCAGAGCCCGAACCACTCCAGACCAGTAAATCTGACTTGGAGATTAGTAACAGATGAGTCACTTGTGTGGCATGCTGACAGAGGGCCAACTTCTAACTCGCTACATGGTTACACCAAGCTACATAAGAGAGTAGCATCTGACCCAAAACATACATTCCCATTACTGTGCAATTGTAAAATAATAATGACTTATATGACCCATATATCAACTTAAGAAAAATATAAAGCATTAGCCAACAACTTTATTGACAGTTCTGTATAACCCCCCTTTGAAGAATGCTGGAAGTAAAATCCTTGCCACAGGGTAGTCATTCAGATATTTGCCTTTTATTCACATTTCTAGGATTCCATCACAGGAGAGCAAGCTGTTTATGTTACTTAGACACTGGCATAGTGGTTTTCCCACTATAAGAGAGCAAGTGTTATCATATTGCTGACAAATACGGGAAAATTCTGATAGATGAATATTTTCATTTTCAAGTCCCTTCACCTTCAAGGCAAACTCAATTCTCCATCAGCAAATACCAATTCAGAGTCCTGAGAACTAGTCTGCAGATAGGCACCACAGTTTCTCTTTGCAGGATTGGAATTTACATGCACCATTCCTGAAGGAATAAGATTAATTATTACTTGTGAACAGTGGACTGTGTGAATTATTTTATCTTTGTATTTATATAATTCTATTCTAAAATAATCCTGCAGAGAAGTTTTAAGATTAAAAGACTCAGCTTTGTGTGTTGCCTGGTATCTCTGAAGATGTATCAGGAGATAATTTCTTTGGGCAATTTGATTGTTGCTGCATCTAGAAAATTAAATTTTTGAAATTAACCAAATAAAAGAATGAAATGGGATTCAATGAAGCAATTCCTGCTAAGAAAATTAAAAACTTCACCTTTCAACTTTTGATTTTGCAAATGGATCTATGATGAGAAATTTGCACTTCAAGGCAAATTGATTGTTGTGGAGAACTATGCAAGTGCACAGGTTTGCTGACCCAGAGCTAACGGCAGGATCAAAACAACATGATTTTGTGACACTTAAAATTAAATAAATGAAAATACCAAATACTTACCTATCCAGAGTGTTCAATGAAAAAATTAGATGGTATGATGCCAAAGCCTGCCAGTTTATTCTTAATCCTTGCCCTCCAGTTTACATTGTTACAGATTTAAAAATAGTCTCTGATCCAGCAATTCTGAATCCTGACAAATGTTGTCTATTTGTGGAATGTTTATTTTACTGGCCAAGAAGATCACTGAAGATCTGGATTAAGATTAAAGTATTAATAAAAAAGAAACATTTTTGAACAGTGTGCAGACACCTGAGTTTCAAGTATTTCATCTGAATAGTGCTCAGTTTGTAATTCCTACCTATGTTGTTTCAAGCTATTTGTTCAGAACTTTCCTTATTTACCCTTTGTTTCCTTTGTTTGCTTGATACACGTTTTGCCTTCGGTTGCCTCTCATTTCACTATTTCTGCATTCTCTGCTTCTTTTTCTTTTTACGTGTTATGTGTTTGGGGAAGGGTTTGTCTGTTCAAGCTCTCGTTGTTTATTGTAGATAAAATATATGGTGTTGTGGAATAGCATGAGGATGCATTTGGTTGAAAAGGCACTGTAGTGTTTCCTGAAAAAGAAGGGGAGTTGCATTTGTTTATAAATGCATTATTTTGGTACTCTACTCTGAATATGATTTGGGATTTTTTTTTTTTTTAATTTAACGAGCATATAGTCATGCAGGTGCATGCATTCTTAAACTAGCAAGCCCAGCATGTTTTTCTTAAGGCTTTTAAAAATTTGGTACACAATTTGTGTGCTTTTACATACCTATACTATTTTTAAAATATATTTTTGGGAATCTCAAGTTTTCTTCACTTTTTTTTTCCTCAGTATACCATGGTATACCTGGTTTCCATTGTACTTAAAAACTACCCTGATCTGCCTCTCCTTTTATGTATCTTGTGTAATAGAATTTGCAGGAGGTGCCTAGAAAGCATTGTTGGTTTCCCTATAAAAATGTGGTTTGTCCAAATTCTTTACTGTCCACATGATTGAGAGATGGACTGATTGCCCTGTTTTTCCTTGATGATTTGGAGTTGTAAGAGTTGTCCAGCTGTTGCTTAATAAAATTTTGCAGACTAGAAAATTCCTGACTTGTTTTTGTTGCATTCTGCATCTTGTCAACCACCTTAAATACTTTTAAAGCAGATGACAAATCTGCACTGGAACAACCTGAATAATAAATATCCAGATGCTGTTATGCTTTCTCTTTTCAATAACTTTATCAGCAAGTTCCACTGAACCTGATGCGTGTACCAGCCCATCATACTTTGTGTCATTCATATGGGAGGATGGATGGCAAGATTTTGTGGTAACAATGTTCCTATCAGCTGATTCTTGTGCTATTTCTCCTCTGCTTGCTTTCCTTTTTAAGGAAATTACCTTTGGGGTTTGTGGTACTTCTCATTTTGTCATTGATATACTGGAAACTTTAACATTACCACAAGGGACTCCTTTGTCCTGTCATCTTTAATAACAGAATAAAATGCTGTGATGGCCAGTGTTCATTCTCTGTTTTTTAAATAAAATATGCGTTCTAGGGGCTGAGAAAATAAAAAAGGTAGTAAAGTAGCTTACCTTGCATAATAAACATCCCAGCTAGCACAAATAGAGAGAATCCTGGCATGGGTCCTCATAGTGGACCCAGGTTACCAGAGGAGCTTTGCAGGGGTCTCTGCTGGGTCATCCTCACCTGTTCACCTAATTCATGGGTGACCTTGAAAAGAGTTTGAATGTTGAGCTACAAAATTTACTGATGATATGAAGTTATTCAGACTAGTAAAGGCAATGGACAGTTGTCAAGAATCCCAGAAAGTCTTTGTTAAACTTGGAAAAAAAATGGCAGGTGAAACTCAGTGTGGGTAAATGTAAAGTGATACATGTGGGGAAAAATAAACAATCCTAACTTTACATTTGCAGTAATGGTCTCTGTAGTGATCTCTACTACTCAGGAGAGACCTCTTGAGCTTTCGATAGATAGCTCTCTGATAACCTCAAGCTGGTGCTCAGCAGCAGTCAAAAGAGGAAAATAAAGTACTGGTAACGATTAGGAAAAGAACTGACAGCAAAAGAAAATACAGGATCACCAAATAAAATTGCAGTTCACCACAGGTCACACACTGTGTAGTACTGGTTCCCTTGTCTCAGAAAAGGTAGAGATCTAGCGAAGATTCACAGAAGGGAAACAGAAGGCACAAATCAACTTCTACAATGAGGAATGACTGTGAAGACTAAGACCCTTCACCCTGGAAAAGAGATAGCTTAAAGGAATTGCTAGGGAGCCACCAAGACAGGAGTAGTGTGGAAACGTGGGTAGGGATTGTTTGTTGATTGTCTCTTCCTGCAGAAAAACTAGGAACTATAACATGAAAATAAAGTGAAATACTAGTGGGGCAGGAAATCAAACAAACGGAAGTGGTTCTTCAAGGAGGTGAGTAGCCAAAGCCACTTTGCCAAACGATGCTGTGATACAAGAAGTTGTGGGTTAAACCCAGCCAGCATCTAAACACCATGAAGCCGCTCACTCACCCTCCCCCACCCGGGGGGATGAGGGAGAGAATTGGAGGGGTAAAGGTAAAGAGACGCGCAGGTTAAGACAAAAAACATTTTAATATTTGAAATAATAATAACAACAACAACAGAAAATACAAGTGGATAATGCACAATGCTCACCACCCGACGGCTGGTGTTCAGCCTATTTCTGGCTAGCAATTCCAGAGAAAAGATCCTGAAACCGCGATCCCGGAAGCAAGAGTGACAGCTTCCCGGCCAACCCCCCATCTATATACTGAGCATGGCATTACATGATATGGAATATATCACTGGCAAATTGGGTCCAGTGCTCCGGCCGTGCTTCCTCCCAGCTTCTTGTACACCTGCGCAGGGGCAGGACATGAGGAGTTGGAGAGTCCTTGAAATCTCAGCAACAACTGAAAACATCAGTGTGCTGTCAGCATTCTTCTCATACCAGATCCCATACTGAATCCAAAGCACAGCACTGTTCTAGCTACTAAGAAGAAAATTTAGCTCTATCCCAGATGAAATTTGGACAGAATTTTATAAGAATTCATGCGAGACTGGAAAAGTATGTGAAAGAGAGGTCCACTGGGACACTAAAAAAACTACAACAGGAGCAGAAAGTTTCCTGAGCTGAGAAAATAGTGAGAGCCTGGGAGAGTATTAGGAGAAATACCATATGAATTTGCTCTGTTCTCACTCTTCCTGAGCAATCTGCAAATGGCTATTGTAGGAGACAAAACACTGGGCTTAAATGGATTCTCCCTGTGAAACAGTGTCACCATCCATTTGCCCACATTTCTAAACCAAGCTTAAGCCTGGAGTGTCAGCCTCTGGGACCAAGGAGAAGGAGGAGGATTCCCAACCTGGTGTCCAAATGCTTTGCACTGCAACCATGAAAAGTCGTCTTCTAGCATCAGCACTGCTCAGGGATTGAGTGCTGGGGGTCTGCCAACATTCATGAAATCTCTCCTAACCCTCGATAAGTGTTCAGGTAAAATTAAACTCCTACGAAAATGCAGAAATTACGAAAATTATTTGTGAGGTTTGGAGACAGAGAAATGGAACAGCAATATAGCCTCTGGTCATGGCACTCTGGCCTCATACTTTTTTGCTCTTCGACTAGTTTTGGTGTTTCCCTGAGCTAGTAGCAGGCCAGGTGAACTAAGCTGATTCATGCAGTTTCTTTTTGGATCAAGGTTCCGGCAGTTTTCGGGTTCTTCCTTCTTTGTGTAGGATATTGACTTAAAATATAGTCATCTTCTGCTTCCCTGCCCTTTTTTAATGTTATTTCAGGGGATTCTGCCAGCTACAGCACTGGTGATTGATTCAGTCAGGGTAACAATCTGTACCTCCTTTGCTCATGGAACTGAGGTAGTGCAGTTTGGTTTGTTCTTCTGGAAGATTGTTTTTGGAAGGCTCCTCTCTGTCAGGTGCAACCAGATAAATTTAACTCATGTAGTCACTTGTAGTTTGTAAATCAACTTTGCTACATCTCCTTCTCTACATGTCAGTACAGAAATGTGACTAAATGAGAACACTGGAACTGTAACTAGCTCCTGTGAGAGATGAGGCATGAAAGGAAGCAAACATCTGGAGAGATGGCTTTTTTTGGAGGAGATGACTACTGAAACATGCCTGCCTCAGGTGATGCAAACACAAAATTTATCAATTAAGAGGAGCTGCAGAAAACAAAAATGTAAGCCTTTAGGAAAATATTCTAGAAAGATTCCTGTGATCGTTTTCTTGCCTCATAGAGGGTTTAATTGCATTTACTTGTTCTTTTTTACGTATTTTTGTGGTTGTTGATAAAGGTGCCATCTTATAGTTATGACTTAGATGAACACAAGGGCTATCTGTGGCCAGTGCCCTCTACTTATGCTGCCTGGTTTAGAGGTCGGGAGATGTGCAGACAATGAGAGAACAATATTTAAGCAGGGACTTTTTAAAAAGAAGCTGGGAATACAGCAGCTATACATATAGTTAAGATCATATATATGATTTAATGACTTCTGGCTAGGTCATGAGCTTTTTCACCAGGACAGGTCATTGTTGCTGATGTTCTCTGGTCAATGGCATATTCCATTTTTTATTGGCATTACTACCAAAATAACTATCAATAGTAAAATAGCAATCTTTACTTACTGCTAATTTTTTCAACACAAGCCCAGCTTTCATTGTTCAATCCTAATGGGATAGACTAAGGAGCTAAGTAATTACCTAGTTGTGACGGAGTTGTACAAGATTAGAACAAACTGGAGCACTTCAGGCCAATTGAGATTCATCTCAGACCTTTCATTTCACTCCTCATCCATTATAGCTGTCTATTGCATATTCTCATTTTCTGTTCCATTTAAAACAGACACAATTAAAATCTTTTTTTTGTTTGTTTTTTTTTATCAAAGTGAACCTAATCATCTGGGGGAATGTTTTTCTTTGTTGCATCTCCTGACATTTTTATGCTTTCCAGCTGCTCCACATTTTCTTCCATTTCTCACTTTCCCATGGATAAGGAGGAAAGTTAGGTTTGCACTGCACTAAGTAACATTTCTTTGTTCTCCTCCTATCTCGTTGCACTGTGGTGATAGTCCTCTTTCTTAAAACAAGTGTATCTTTGTTCCCTTTGTTGCACAGTTTTGGTGAGATTAATTTCTTCCTTTTCCTTTCAAAGTCATTTAGGACTTTTTAACTTTTTTGTAATCCAGAAGGATGTTTATTTTAGAGAAGAGTCTCTATGAGGCGGTTATTGAAAAGGCAAGAGTCTAAAGATGATTTAAACATCATGGAGACTTCTAATTGCCTCATGCGGAGGCAGCCAAATGCAGAGTCTCATCTTCAGAAGTCACATAACTGTGATTTGACTTCCAAGTGACTTCTCTATCTCATTTTATGGTGCTTTCTAATGAGAGAAGCATCCTTGTTTTCATCAGATCTATGAACACACCCTAAGATTTTTCTCCTTGAGTTGGTGTGGTAGCTAGTATAATCTGAGGTGGCAAACATTCAATTTGTTAGGCTTTATTTGCATGGCTTAGAGAATCACTAAAACCAAAATTCCAGTTTTGTTCATAAATCTGCTGCTAGTATTCTTATTTATGTGATACTGATGATTTTATCTGCAATTTAAAAAATACACAGGTTTTAGCAGATTTTAATTATGTCTGATCAACAGTACATATGAGTGTGAAAAAAGAGCTGACATCTTTCCAAAAACCATGGCATATGTATAATTCACACTGGAAGTTGTGCTCTGAACTTCAGAAGTTCCAGGTGCTGATGAAGTGTCCCCTCAGGCCACAAATTGAGAGAGCATAATTTGGAGAGCTATCAGAATCCACAATTAAGTTCCACTTCTGGAGATCATGGAAAACTTGAGTGAGAGTAAAGTGCTGCAGACTGAGTATCATCACAAGTACTGCAGTATGTACGTGATGAAAAAGCTCTCCAAAGAGCAAGGCAGCTGAGAAAGGAGAAGCTTCTGGGAAGTCAGTGGAGCTGTTGGTAGAGGGATCACACCCCTGTGAAACAGAATGTACCTTACGTCAGAAGAAGTAAGGACAAAGAAACTCA